ACACACACACACAAATCCCCATTTACCTCTTCCTTTCTGCTGTGCCAACTTGGTCTTTGCATCATTCTAAGCTTCTCTCATGGACCCAAGATAGCTACCAGCATTATCTTCCTCTTGTCCAGCATGAAAGAGGACATTCTCTGCAAAAGTCCTAAGAGTCATTCTGTTGAACTACCTTATGGTCATGCCCATTCTGACTCAATCGTTAAGTCCATTATGGTTGCAACACACTGACTACATAGACCAGGTTAAGTACATCACACCTGAAGGTGGAGTGAAATCAGCGTCACTGGAAGAATACAACTCCCTAGAGAAAATGGTGCTGTTGGGAAGGCATTTTAAAGAAACTAAATGTTTTATAGGAAACTACATATTAAATATATTCAAACAACACATTTTAAGTCATTTTTGAAATTTCTCTCTTTTTTTTTTTTTTTGGTGGTATTGGAGTTTGAACTTAGGCCTCACACTTGCTAGGTAGGCACTTTGCCACTTGAGACACTCCACCAGCTCTTTTTTGTGTTGAGTATTTTCAAGATAGGGTCTTAGGAATTATTTGCTCAGACTGGCTTTGAACTTTGTTCCCCCTGATCTCTGCCTCCTAAGTAGCTAAAATTACAGGCATGAGAAACTGGTGCCCAGGCTTAAATTTCTCTTCTTTAGTCAACTTTGATTATACTTGCTTTTAAAGTGGCCTAGAGTTTCCACATTTTCAAGGAAGATCATCCTCAGAATTTCACAAGAGGATACTTGATGGACATTAGAAATGATGCTATAGATCTGTATTTACTGATGAAAAATGTTATTATTAAATGAAATAGATTACTAAAATGTGTATAAAAATCATACATATTATATAATCCATTTTTCTTAATCTATGTGCATAGAAGTGATATTTCATTATGACATTAGCAGAAGTTGCCTCTAAGAATGTTTTTCACTTTGTTTCCTTTTTATGTATTACCTGAATATTTTATAATTATTATTTATCACTTTAATAATCAGAAAAAATTAGAACTACATCATTTTGGAAAAAAAATAAAATTTACCAGAAATCTTCACACTCATCAGATTGTCTTAACACAACCTTTGTCACTGTGTCAAAACATTTGGTTTATTCCTCCTGTCAATCTTAATCAGCTGGAGTTGAATTAAATAGGGCAGTGTGTGATAACCAGAATATATAGGGAACTTAAAAAACTAAATTCTCCCAAAACCAATGAACCAATAAAGAAATGGGCAAGTGAACTAAACAGAACTTTCTCAAAAGAAATTCAAATGGCCAGAAAACACATGAAAAAATGCTCACCATCTCTAGCAATAAAGGAAATGCAAATTAAAACCACGCTAAGATTCCACCTCACCCCTGTTAGAATAGCCATCATCAGCAACACCACCACCACCAGGTGTTGTCGAGGATGTGGGGAAAAAGGAACCCTCTTACTGTTGGTGGGACTGTAGACTAGTACAACCACTCTGGAAAAAAAAATTGGAGGCTACTTAAAAAGCTAGACATTGATCTACCATTTGATCCAGCAATACCACTCTTGGGGATATACCCAAAAGACTGTGACACAGGTTACTCCAGAGGCACCTGCACACCCATGTTTATTGCAGCACTATTCACAATAGCCAAGTTATGGAAACAGCCAAGATGCTCCACCACTGACGAGTGGATTAAGAAAATGTGGTATCTATACACAGTGGAATTTTATGCAGCCATGAAGAAGGACGAAATGTTATCATTCGCTGGTAAATGGATGGAATTGGAGAACATCATTCTGAGTGAGGTTAGCCTGGCCCAAAAGACCAAAAATCATATGTTCTCCCTCATATGTGGACATTAGATCAAGGGCAAACACAACAAGGGGATTGGACTATGAGCACATGATAAAAGCGAGAGCACACAAGGAAGGGGTGAGGATAGGTAAGACACCTAAAAAACTAGCTAGCATTTGTTGCCCTTAACGCAGAGAAACTAAAGCAGATACCTTAAAAACAACTGAGGCCAATAGGAAAAGGGGAACAGGTACTAGAGAAAAGGTTAGATCAAAAAGAATTAACCTAGAAGGTAACACCCACGCACAGGAAATCAATGTGAGTCAATGCCCTGTATAGCTATCCTTATCTCAACCAGCAAAAACCCTTGTTCCTTCCTATTATTGCTTTTACTCTCTCTACAACAAAATTAGAAATAAGGGCAAAATAGTTTCTACTGGGTATTGAGGGGGGGGGAGAGGGAGGGGGTGGAGTGGGTGGTGAGGGAGGGGGTGGGGGCAGGGGGGAGAAATGAATCAAGCCTTGTATGCACATATGAATAATAAAAGAAAAAGGAAAAAAAATAAAAAAAAATAAATAGGGCAGTGTGTTTGAGAGCTATAGGTGCCATTTATTTATGTGAGAGTTAAGATTAATTTATAGTTTTCTCCCCACTGATCTGCATAGCTTTATCGTTTCTTCCTCTTTTCCAGTAGTGGTCAGCATCCCACAAAATAATTAGTAGATGTGATTGTGGAATCAAATGATTTTCTTGTGGCATTCATCAGTATTTTTTAAATTTAAGGATGACTTTTCAATGAAGTCTTTCATTTCTGTGTATACTTTGTTCTGAGTTTCCCTCCACGAACTGCTCTTCTTAGAAAACTCATTCACCATGCAGATTATCTCTTCACACCAACATCTTTAGTTCTGCCCTTTCTCTCTCTTGAGCATCTCTTTTATCTCTCAGTAGCTACCAAAGGTTTTGGTTTTTTTTTAATGGTACTGGGGATTATACCCAGGGCCTCAAGCATGCTAAGTACCACTGAGTGACATCACCAGCCCTTTACCAGAAATCTCAATGTACACATACGTGCTGAATCTTTCATGAGCAGTTAGCTCACAGGACAATGGTATGTTTCATCCACATTTTCTCTCACCTACCAACTGGATTTTCTTAGAACAATTGCTTAATCTCCCAGGCCCTCAGATGCAGAGACAATTTCTTCAAGAAGAGAGCCTATAGAAGATAATTTCTTACAGTTTTAGATTCTAGATCTAAAACCACATTCACTCTACTCCTTTTAATTGCTTCCCCCATTGAAATATATGTTTCACCTTCAGATAACAGAATGATACAAAACAATGGGTTTTAGGACTAGAAAGGTATTAGAAACTACCCAATTTCTTTTCATTACTGTAAGGGATGAGAACATATATAGACTTATTAACTCCTCCTTCTCCATTAGCCTTATCAGTAACTGAATTTATCAGTTGCTGTGTAATAAAAGTCCATTCCATTATTTTCACTGCTATCACTCCAGAGTAGGTCTTCATTTCCTTATGACTTGGTTCTTCCCAAAGTCACCATATGGTTTTTCTTGCTTTCAATTTTTTTTAACTAATCCTGGGAAAGCTTCCAGATGACACATTCAAAAATACTGTGATCATTATGATGTGTTCCTATGGGGGAAAAAATATAATGGTTTTATTGTGGTCAAAGGATAAGGTTCAGGACTGGAGGTGTCACTCAAGCACTAGGGTGCCCACTTTGCAAATGCAAAGCTCTGATTTCAAACCCCAGTCCCACCAAAAATAAACAAATAAATAAAGGATAAGGTTCAAAATCTAAGATTAAACTCAGTAATCTCCTATAGGTTGACTCTACCTTATATGCCTAGGTCTATCTTTCAGTAGTCTTTAATAGTCAAATCTTAAGTATTTACTTGAATTAATCTTCATACTTTCAGAACAGAAATCCATTAGCCTTGAGATAACTGAACTATTAATAAGATTTTTTTAAGTAGACAGGGTCAATGAAAACACAGCAGTTAAAACTGAAGATGACAAAGAAGGAACAAAAAAGAAGTGAACACAAAAAAAAAAGGACACAAGCCTTTTCTTTCACCTTTAACCTACCCTTAGCTTACTGTGATTTTTCTTAGTAATCTAGTTTTTCAACTTTGCACTGAAAATGCTGAGAGATTAAGAAGATAATGTAAAGTTGCTAGACATAAAGATGTGAAGCAAGATTTAAAAAATAAATTCTTATGGAGATATTAAGTGGGAGTGGGTTATAAATATTTAAACTCGAAATAATTTTGATTCCAAAAAGCTAATTCAATTACAGAGCTTTTTCAATTTTCGAAGTGGAGCGCTGCATTTGGGGCACCTTCACTTCTGAAGTTTTCCACCAATACAAGCAGACTCCTCTCAGAAAACTGAGGGCATATACCCACGGCTTCCCCCACAACAGAAATACAAGCAGCCACCGACAAAGCTCTTATTCTAAATCAGGCACAGGGCTAAAGCTTGACATTTTAATCTTTGGTTTAGGAAGGTCAAGGTCAACTGCGTTGGGAAAGGTAGGAGGCAGGATTTCGACCCAGGTCCGAGTCTAAGTCCTTGCTATCCTATGAAAAAGACGAGCCTAACCAACAGAGGAACTGGATGAGGTTAACCAGAAGGATGAGAGAGCTCTGCATCTGAGCCGAGGCAGCGGATAGCAAGACTGGAAATCCTCCAAACAGGCGGCCATCTTGTGCCAGCCGAGGGCCGGAAGTCCTGCAACATGAGGATCGCTTCTGGGCTATTTGTGGCCGGCGGGGCGGGGACTCGAAGGCGGATCAGCACGGAGGTTCCAGGCCGGGGGCGGGGCCTGAGGGCGGGGAAGGGGCTGGACGGGGAGTGTCTGTAGGCCAGGGGCGGGGCCTGAGAGCGGGGCGGGGCCTATGCCCCTCGAGGTTGGGGGCGGGGCCTGAGGGCGGGGAAGGGGCTGGACGGGGAGTGTCTGCAGGCTGGGGCGGGGCTGAGCTGCTTGAGGTGGAGGGCGGAGCCTAAGGGCGGGGAAGGAACTGGATGGGAGGGCCTCCAGGCCCGGAACGCGGCCTGAGGGCCCGACAGGGTTTGAGCGGCTCGTGGTTGGGGGCGGGGCCTAAGGGTGGGCGGGGACCGTGTAGCTCAAACCCGGAGGCCAGGGCTGGATCTGATGGCGGAGGCGGGGCCGGGGGGCCGGTGCCGGTGCCGGTGCGGGGCGGAGCTGACAGGGCCGCAGCGGTTTACCCCCGCTCGCGTTCTCGGAACGTGCCGGAGCTGCTGCGGGCGGCACCCTCTGCGCTCCGCCAAGAGTGCTGGGGGCGGGAGATGACGGTGATTTCCCCGCTGCTTGGCCCTCAGAGCACCCTCTCTCTTTTACTGGCGGCTCCGGGGCTGCAGATGTAGCAGGTAAGATGGGCCTCCGGCACCACGACTTGCGGGGTCCTTACTTGGCCTTGAGGCCACCCTATGCTTCCACCCCCGCCCTGGGGTCTGAGCAGGTGGACAGCGCCTGGCCCTCTGCACCCGCTGTCTGGGACGGGCTGGACCCCCCGGGGAAGGCTTGCGCAGAAGGGGAGACTTGTCCCCTCCCTATCCAGAACTGCCATCGCAGTGACGCCTCGCTGCACGTGCGCCCACCCTGTCATCCTGGGACTCTCCACTTTATCCCGAGGGGGGCCTCAAGTATCTGCCGCTTCCGAGAGCTTCTGGAGCGGTGCGCCAAATTTTCTCCCTTAGCCCTTTCGGAGCATGTTAGTTGCCATATGTGTGACTCCCGTGTCCAGGCTGCCTTTGCACTTAACACTGTAACCTTCCATGCGTTAAGTGACAACTGCTCTCAGGAGGCCATTTGATTAGGGGCTCCCCACACTCCTTATCTTGGAGGGCCAAAGTCTGGTCGCTGTAGACTAGGGAGAAGGCAGTGCTCAGCGCTCTCCGCCATAGGTCTCTAGGAAGGACATTCGGTCCCTTTCGAGTAAGTGGGAGTGGATGAATGGTGTGACTGTTGATGTTGCAGAGTGCTTTAATAGTGCCACACTGTTTTAGGCTTTTCCCATAGGATTAAGGGATATTGGGTGTTTGAGAAATGGACAGCATAGAATTTTAATGCTTTCTCTTTAATGTTAACACCCCCCACTTCCACTTAATAATAGTAGTTGTTTACTATTTCATTGGTTTGTTGAGGTTTTATAAGCCAAATATGAAGTGGTCAGAGGGTTCCTATACATCATGACCCAATGAACTGCCTTTTACTATGACAGGTCAACTTGTTTGTTCTGCAACAAGCCTTGTTTTTATAGATGAAAAGACTGGATGTAATTTTTAAAAACTTCCTTTGCTGTGGTTCCTGTTCATTTGAAAATATGCTGTAATGTGCATATTTTCTTTGCATTCAAAATAGGATAATGCTTTAGATGTAATTTTATTATTTTGGCTTTCCCTCAGCAGGTGCTGCTTTTATAGTACTGGAAAACATTAAAAGAAACCAGGAGAAAGGACAGATTATTTTTAAAAGTTTCTCAAGTGGTAGAGTGCCTGCTTAGTAAGCATGAAGCCCTGAGTTCAAACCCCAGTTTCTCTTAATTCTCAATTCATTGAAAGTTAAACCTGGACAGTGCTATACCTATTTGACCATCACCTTGAGAAAAATTAAGAGCTCTCCCTTCTCTGTCAGCAACCAATTAGCTAAATTCAACTTCTTTTAATTGGTTGTTATAAAACAGAAACTGGTAACTTTCTGGCACATCTTGTCCCTGTATTTTTAGTTGGGGATCTTTAATACCAAGTATGTTTGAAGAACTATCATAGAACAATGAATCTTACTTGCTTTGTTACCATTCTTATCATTAGGACTACAGCTTCTAATAGTAATTGCTACAATTTCTTGAAGGCCTACTTTGTGGTATACTGTGCCTAAAATACCTTTCTACACAATATCCCTCTAAGAAGGTTTTTAAGCTCATTTTAGAGAGGCAGAGTAACTGACCCAAGGAGTTGATGAGCTCTAAGGTCCAGAATCTGTTAAACTCTCTTACCGAATTATTGCTAGTTTAGTTAAAACTGTTAGCTAAAAAAAAAAAAAAAAAAGCCCATTGGACTGCATTGTTAGGCTTGTGCAGTCCAACTAAGGGGTTATGGGCATCGTGAGTTATACTTTATGTAAAGAAATGTTGGGAACTTTTGAAAAACAGCAAAAGGCTAGACTAGTTTAGCACCTTCTTTACCACTACCTTTTCAAGCACCCATCACTGAAGGGCTGGGAATGCCTAACACCTGCCTGTATTTGTTTACTAGATCCTTCAAGTCTGGGTATCTGTAACAACCAATAGCTTTCCCAGGATATAATTTGATGCTTATTTGGTAAACTGCAAGTATGTGAACATTGTAGGTTTTGTTTGTATTGACCACTCCTATCTAATCCTGGTAGAAAAATATTCACCCAAATCCAGATTAAATATAATGTTTTTCAATGGTTTGGTTGGTGCTCTTTGGCCTGCCATTTGAGTCTTTTTTAATGTGATGTGGGCGTTTGAGAGCTTAACCCGGGCATTGTACATTTCAGCAAGCAGAGCTTTTTTACTGCCTACCTTATATAAAGCCACTTTAGATGATAAACTCAGAATAATCACTCTGAAATTGGTAATTGTCATCATATTAATTTCAAGTTACTAATAAAAGCTGATTAGTTTCATCCTCATGGTCACTGTGTCTTGGCCAAATGAGAACCTGATAGTTATTGTCTTACTAGCATATAGAATTTGTTCTTTGCATTAGTATTTTCTGAACCTCTTTAGAACATTTCACCACATATTTTGTGTTCTTTAACATTTTATGGACATCTTTAGAACATTTTAGGACACATTCTGTGTTCTTGAGCCTGTTGCTATAGTGAAAAACTTTGTTATTCAGAAAAAAATTGTTGATCCATGAGCTAAGTAATGTCTGAAAGAGAACATAGATCCATGAAAAGGTTGAAGGTTTACTGAAGTGCAAACTATCATTTTAGTGATTTATTAGGAAAACCTTTTTCTTTGCTTCTGTGACATTTAAAGTCTGGTGAAAGAGATAGTCACTCTAATTCATAGTAAAATTGCAAATGGAGAAAAGTGGTAAGGATCATGATTCTATATGAGAAAGAATCATGACCTAACTATTGGGCTACAGAACCCTTACCTGATAAGGGTTTGAGTTTGGAGGAGTAGGTATTAATTATGTGGAGAGTGGCAAATGGGTGGGTAGAAAACACTTTGGAGTGAACTGCACATACATGTTGCACAAAGGAACTGTGGGGCGAGTATATGTGCTGGAAAAAAAAAAAAGGAACTGAGAGTAGGTTGGTAGAATACCATCATTTGTTTCTTTTATGGCTCTCTCACATTCTACCAAAAGTTGTATTTAGCTTTGGTTAGTGATTACTGTGTACCAGATGTGAGGACTTCACTTGAATAATCACGTTTCTATGAGGTAGGAAGGTTAGGCATAGAAAAGCTAAAAGTTACCGGTTCAAAGTTGATAAGTGATGCTGTACTATATTCTTCCTTAGATTCCAGCATGATTACAGGCTGGAAGGGGCCCTTTGGTTTCACTGTGACTCTTCCACATAGCCCTGAGAACTTCTGAAATTTCCAGAGAATCTGGATGCAAGTGGATGCTTAGCAGAGACTGTGGGCCCCCTGCTCTAATCCAGCAGATGGAGCTCATTGGGGATTGCTTGAGGGAACCACAGAGCATCACTGCAACTGTGATATTTGGGGATCTTATTTTACTCATGTCTGACACTAAATATAGAATAGCACCATAACTTTCAATATTTACTGCCTTTAAGTGTAAAGAAGTTATTGTTAGCAACCCCCACTTTTTCCCATTGTATATTTCCATTGTATGTGTATTTATTTAACCATTTAATATGTAGTAAGTGTAGGTTTGTAGTGCTTCATTTCAGCTAGAACTCTTTTTATTGATTGTCACACTGAATCTTCTTTTCTTTCCAGAGATCTGGTTGGAGTTGGAGGGTGAGAGAAAATGGATTATTTTCCTAATTTACTTATACAGAACTCAACTGTTACAGTCAATATGACCAAGAATTTGTCTACAACAGTATCACATGGATTTAATTCTACTAATGACTCACCTTCAATGTCCGTAACAAGGCTTTTCCCAGCCTTACTAGAATGCTTTGGCATAGTCCTTTGTGGCTATATAGCAGGAAGGTCCCATGTCATAACATCAACACAGGCCAAAGGACTGGGAAATTTTGTTTCCAGATTCGCCCTTCCAGCTTTATTATTCAAAAACATGGTGGTACTTAATTTTTCCAATGTGGATTGGGCTTTCCTATATAGCATCTTAATTGGCAAAGCTTCTGTATTTTGTATTGTATGTATTTTAACCTTATTGGTTGCCAATCCTAATAGTCGATTTAGCAAAGCTGGACTATTCCCTATTTTTGCTACACAAAGTAATGACTTTGCATTGGGATACCCTATAGGTAAGTTATTTTTTATTTTTCGTGTTTTTACAAAATTCAAGTGTTTTATAAAGTAACAAATATCTTTTAATTTATCTAGACATTTGTCTAATGACAGCTTCTTATTCTTGTATCTAAGAAATTGGGTTTTTTTTCCTTAAATGTCTTAAATGGTATGGATTACATTTTTTCTGCAACTTCAGAGTTTAAGGCTCCTTTAACTATCCACCTAAACTAAATGGTCATGTTCTAATAACCTTTGTAAATAGTCTCTCCAATAGTATTCTATTTCTTCTCAATAGTCACAAATCAAAGAAATTTAATTTCCAGATGAGATCAGATTCTGATTTAAATTACATAAAAACATAGACTTATGTCTGTATAAAAATAACCATTATTAAATTTTAGCAATGGAAACTTATAAGTGATAGTCCTCTCTGTTGCTTTTCTTATCATCTAGAATATATATTACTTCACACTAAAACTTGCTAAAGAGCTTATTATTCAAAATGTCCGTATATTTTGTTGGAAGTTAAATTCTTGTTTAAGAACAAAATGGTTGGAGGATCGCTGTTCAAAGTCACCCCAAGCAAAAATAGAGACCCTATCTCGAAAAAAACCCTTCCCAAGAAAGGGCTGGCAGAAATGGCTCAAGGTGTAGGCCTTGAGTTCAAGCCCCAGTACTGCCAAAAAAAAAAAAAAAAGAGAGAGAAAGAACAAAAAGGTGAGGACAGTTTACCTTTCCAGCTGTTTAAGCAGCCTAATTTTATGTTTCTATGTCTGTGTTTCCCTGATAAAACAATGACTGACTTGGGATGTAGGTATGTCTCGAAAGGAAACATATTCTACTTTTCAGAACACTCTGCCACCAAGAAAGTGTATACTTTGTAACTACTTTTTTATATTTTTAAATTAAAGTTATGTTACTTTGGTCATGTATCATAATGTGAAGACCCAGCTATTATGGATATATTCATTCATTCATTCACTCGCAGGCAGTTGTTATATACCAGTAACTGAGCCAGCTACTGTGAACAAAGTTCTTGCCTATATTGAATTTACATTTTAATAGGAAAATAAATAATAAAATTAAAATCCTATCAGATGGTTTACCGTAAAAGCAAATAGGTAGTATAGATGCACAGGAATGAGGAGATGCTATGTGAGGTAGGGTGGTCAGTTAAGGCCTCTGTAATGATAAGTCTCTTCTAAGCAGAGATTTAAAGTATACAATTAAAATCTCCCATTAACTTTCAATTTTCTTATCCAGTTGTTTTATCCTCTCCTCATGCTCCCAACTTATTTCAGCACTGGCTCTGAAAAGATTCTAGTGAACTATACTTTCAACTTTCTCTACCTTTGACCTTCCTCCATCTTGTCTACCAGAAATAGAAAAATACCAAAGAAATTAAATAACTATGAGGCTTAAGAAGGAGGAAAAACTAGGCTCTTAGGTAACTGAGCTATAAATAGTAAGAAACTAGATAGGTGTTCCTTTAAGGTTACTAAACTTTAAAATGAAATAAAGATTTTTGGAAGTAGAAGAGCAAGGAGTTAATGTGGTTGTCCATTTCCTCAGGAGAATTAATAATGTAGATTGGTCGATTATTTGTAGTGCAAGGGCTGAATGTGGTTCAGTACCATAGTGTTAGGCATGTAATAAATATCTTGCTTTAGACATGAACTAGAAGTATATAGTTTCATGCTCTCATAGGTTAGTAAATTCGTAACTAAAAAGAACTAACATTTGTAACTTTATAGTTTACAGAATTCCTTCTTAGATTTACCTCGTTTCAATAGGAAAGATATTCTCATTTTCAAGTAAGGAGACAGGCTTACAGAGATTAATTGTTTTATTCCAGATCACACAGCTAACAGGTGATGGCAATTCAAACGTAGGTTTTCTGGCTCTAAATCCTGGGTGCTCTCTTATGCAACAGTTACATAACATGCCAAGTCTGTCTTGGAAGACCCAGCCAGCCCTGGGTATAATGTATAATGAAACTTATACATTAGTTTCAACAGAATAAAAAAAATTGTACCAAGGTTAGGGCATGGTTCAAGTTGTAGAGTGTCTTGCCTAGCAAGGGTGAGGCCCTGAGGTTCAAAACCTAGTACCACCAAAAAAAATTTTTTTGTTCTTGAAGTATTCCAAAAATGTTCCATAAAATTAGTGGGAAAAGACCTATTAAGTGAGTTAATCAATTTTCATATCAAGACAGAAGCTTCAAATAAAAAATATAATCAGCCATTTTTATCACTGTTTTTCTTATGTTCCACATTATATCAGTTAACCTGGGAATAATCATGTTCCTAACAGTATGCTACTCCAAATTTCCCTGATAAGTATGTTTGTCAATTTTGAAGTGCAATTTTTGTTGGTTGTTTTTACTCACAAATAATAATAATGCTTGTAACACCAGGCTGTAGACCATAACCTTAGAAATAGTAATATAGACAGCTTTCTCAGAAGCCTGCAAATAGGAAGGTATGGTGTGGTACAGAGCTGAATAGCCATGTGTCTGCACTGCAATGAGGTTATTTATTCTTGCTGCCTGTGTCCATTTGTCTCTGGCCTTGTGCAGGATGAACAGAGAAGACTGTCTCCAGAGAGAAAATCTTTCTGTTTGTTTTATAGCCTCTCCCAGGAATTCCCACTGTCTTGCTCAGAGAGGAGCATCATTTGTGGGTTATAAGAAATGTCTTTTTTAAGACTATATCTAAGTGGTAGAGCACTTACCAGCATACTCAAGACCCTGGATTTAATCCCTAGTACTCAAAAATTTAAATTTAAATTAAATAAAAAACTGCATTTGTTCCACATCTATCCAATTTGCAGGTGATGGGAAATGCTGTCAAGGAGAAAGCAGAAAAGTTAATGAATGAAGTAAAAGGACAAGGGCTGGTGGAGTGGCTCAAGTGGCAGAGCGCCTCCCTAGCAAGTGTGAGGCCCTGAGTTCAAACCCCAGAGCCACCCCCCAAAAAAAGGGAGAGTCATATGTCCCTTCCCTATATACTGTGATCATTACAATGGTCTATAAAATTACATTTAAATGATTTATCTTTAGTGACAGAATAGTGCATTATTATAGACTGAAAAGAACTCTCACTGTTTTTTTTTTAGACTGATTCTTTTCAAAGGTACTTTAAAAAATTCAAGTGTGAGAAGAAAATCAAGAATGTACCAAGGTGAAATGTTGATTTCACCAAATCCAAATGGTTCCCTGCCTCTGTCATTAAAAGATACTAATAGGGCTTAGTTAAGTCCTATAATTTATTCTTCAAGCAATGCTGATAGCATAAGTACCCTGACTGATCATAATTATACTCTGGTCTAAGCTGTAAACAGAAGGGAAATGAAGCATTTAACTATATGCCATTAATAATAGATTGATCTTGTCGGGGTCTTTGTGTTACTTGCTAGAGATTGAAACCCTGCAGGAATCAAAATAGGAGCCACAGTGGGTGGCTAATTTTTTCTCTTAGCCCTCCAAAACCAAATAATAATTCCTCATAATGGGATGCCCCCCCTTCCTCCAAGAGCCTTATTTATAATCATTAATTAATTACAACTTAATTGTTGATATGATTATAAATCTAATTTTAGTTACTATCTGTCACTGTAGTCCTATGGTATTTTCTTTTCAGATTTGAAAAACTATCTTCACATTGATAACAAAAAAGCACCTACAGTTTGTAGATAAGGATGTAATGTTAAGTAATTATGCAAATAAATGGAAGAAATAGTCTGAAATTCCCATGTTGAGCCCCATTCTTCTGGTAATTTAACAAGTATTTATTTAATCACAATTATTTGCTCTCCCACTAGACTACACTTCTTTTGCCTTTGTGTACTTGCTGAGATAAAAGGCCCCAATTGTAACCTACTTTATAAATACTTAGAATGCATAAACAGTTAAAAAAAAATTCTGTTAGGAGGACTAAGTTCAAGAGCTCTATTGTACAATTTGGTGACTACAGTTAATAATAATAATGTATTCTCGAAAATTGCTAGAAGTGTAGATTATAAGTGTTCTCATCACAAAAAATGATAAATACATGAGGAGATTTATATATTGGTGACCTTGATTTAGCCATTCCACAATGTATACATTTCAAAACATGTACACAAAATATATCATTTTATTGACCGATTAAAAGTAAATTATTAATTTTATAGCAAAAAAGGTAAAAATTAATCTAAAAAGAAATTGATTAAGTGATGACAATTAGACATAAACAGCTGTGTGTCACAAAGTATACTTTTACTATGTCTGAAACTTCAGCATTCATTGATGTGTTAGTTAATTGCATTCAGCAAGTATTTTCAGATTTGCTCAGCACTGTGCTGGAGACTATAGGTTATAAAATTATGCCTTCAAGGAGCTTAGAATTTGTCCAGGTTACATTAATATGAAACAAAGTATCCTAGCATTCCAGGGAAAGGGAGATTAATGGCATAGATCAAAGACCTGGGAGAGCAAGTATTATGAGAGATTGGCCTTAAATAGGCAAGTTTCAGGTAAGAAAGAAAAGAATTAAGAAAGTGATGTTAAGATCAGCATGTAGACCCAGTAATTATGAACGTGGTGTTTGTCTGATGTAACTATGATATTAAACTCGCAGATGGAGTCTTTGCATTAAGGAGTAGTAAGATATGAGACCCAATTGTGGAGACTGGGCTGTGCATGTCAAGAAAAAGGTTTTATAACCATTCCCGTGGGTGGTGATAACTCTAGGAAAATATTAGCTTGAAAGATTTTGATTTTTTGCAGCACTGGAGTTTGAATGCAAGTCTTTGTGTGCTCTACCACAAAAGCCATGCCCTGTCCCTTTTTTCTTTATATTTTGAATAAAGTTTGATTTTCTTCCCTGATCAGCCTGGACCTTGATCCTCTTATTTACGCCTCCTGTGTAGTGGATGGTAGGTGTGTACCACCATGCCCAGCTTGAGATGGGGTCTGGCTAGTTTTTTGCTGGGGCTGGCCTTGAATTGTGATCCTCCCAATCTTTGACTCCTGAATATCTGGAATTGTAGTGTAATCTAATTTTAAGACTAGTGGTAGGAATCAAGAGGAGAAAATAGAGAAGATACTGCAAAAGAATAAAGTATAGGGGTCCCTTTCTCTGTCAGGAATATGCTCCAACCCCCAGTGGATAGTATTGAACTCTATATATACTGCTTTGTCCTATACATAAATACGTACCTGAGGTAAAGTTTTAACTTATAAATTAGGCAGAGTAAGAGATTAACAATAATTAATAATGAAATAGAACCATCATAACAACAAACTTCAGTAAAAGTTATGTGAATGTGGTCTCTCTCCCTTTCTCTCAAAATATCTCACTCACCTTTCTTGTTGACATTGGGTAACTGAACTTATGGGAAGCAGAACCAAGGATAAGGGGGGGTGGGGGGGGCTACTGCATTTAATGATTGGCCAGACACAAGTAATAAAAACTTGCTCAGATTTGCATTAAGCTCTTTAAAAAGTCAGCATCATTATGTGGTAGTGGTTACTAAAGTGCCAGGAAAGTGAATTTCTGGAAAGGGCATTAATACAAGGGGCTTGAGTAGACCACAGAACTATAGCTCTAAGTTGTCAAAGGAAACACCTTTGCATTGTATTGTGACCACTTAGGAAAAAGTCTTGTAATGGGACTGAAAACACAAGACATTTCCAAAATATATACTCTAAACATTGAGTGGTGGGCAGGTATGGACAGCTTTCTCTTAGAGATGGAATATCTAATCAGAAGTGTAGCTATCTAGGAAAAAGTGCTGCTTTTTACTCAAACAAATGAAACTTTATAAAATATGAGAAAACCAGTATGAGTTATAAAGCTGCATATCTTAATTTAGAAATCAGTTAAAAGAATTTATGAAATGTTATATAGTCAAATATGTTTTAACTTCTGCTTCATTTTGGTGATATGATAGACCTCTGTATGTGCTTAGCTGAAAAAGGATTGAATTCTATAAAAAGTAGGTTTTAGCTAATAAGATCAAGGTGAACTTCTAAAGGTTATATAATCTAGTTACACAACCTTAACAGGTCATGTGCATGACATTAACTGATATTATGCATCCTAAGTAAACATATATAGTTTCCTACTTATGTCACTTTCTCTTCCTGTAAATTGAGAAACTTAATACTTATATTTTTCACATATTGTGCCTCTTCTTGAGTGATTCTGGCAGTTCACTTTTTATCTTTCTTTTTCAACTTTGAATCAGTTATGAATCAGCTTTTGTATGCTTTAGATCGAGTATTTCGGGACCCATGTCCAAAAAAAAGTGCCTAGAGATAAAGTTGTTTATTCCCCAGCTGTAAGTTGCCCTGATCAACCCTAAACCAGACCACTAACCCTCTCCTCCTCAAGGAAACTGCTAGAAGTCTAATCTAACCTACTTGCCTCCCTCCAAGGAAACACATCTTCCACAGTAGTTAGGTTCTGAAGTCATCGTGGACCCTCAAATCATTGAACAGTCCCTTAAATCACCCACAAAATATAGCATATGTACTTTGTACCGTTTGTTGTAAATCTAACACAGCCAGACTTCTTTCTTTCTTACACATTGCCATTTTCCAATGAACAAGAGATGAAGCAATTCATTTGTACTTGGAGGCATGCTATCTGAGAAACGATTGAAGCTTTTGTTTTCTCAAGAAGGTAGTTGAATTTGCATTAGATCTACATTTTTGTGACTCCACTTTTTCCTCTCCCAAATATTTCTTAGGTCTAATTTTCTAGATCTATTTCTGTAGCATCTTCATTGGTTTTCCCTTTTCCTCTTTTTCAAATGGAGTCTTTTTATTTTCCCATAGCCTACATACCACATCCGCAAAAGTAGATAAGACTACATCCTCATCCTCCTAGTTATCTTGTTCCACTGTTCACAGCTATTTTGAAGTTCATGCTGTCTGTCTAATTCACTCATCCTCATTGCTGGTATCTTTTGACCTCATTCTAGACATTCCCCCTTCATTCATTACAGGTGTTAATGTCTGGCTCTGTTTTGTTGTTGTTTTTGTTTTTTGGGGTTTTTTGTGGCACAGGAGTTTGAACTCAGGGCCTCACACTTTCTAGATAGGCACTCTTACTGCTTGAGCCACTCTGCCAGCCCTGTTTTGTGTAGGGTTTTTTTGAGATACCGTCTACGAACTGTATCTACTGTAGTCCTCCTGATCTCTGCCTCCTGAGTAGCTAGGATTACAGATGTGAGCCATGGGTGACCAACTCTGTTGTCTTCTTTATCCCAAGTTTAGTCATTCTCTTGTTTAACTTGAGCATCCTCTAGAATTGGCTATCTCTGTCTGCTCAGTTCTTTGGGTTCTTCCTCTCCATTGTCTTTATTCCCTTTCAGCTACCAATTCACATGGCTCCATCCTGGAAAAATAAAAAGTTCAGTAGCTCACTGACTTATTCCAAACTCCTTAACTTCCAACTGCACTGAATTCTTGGACTTCAGAGGGGCCTCTGACTTGTCTACTTTCTGTAAGCTACCTCCCACCTCCATGTCTTTCTGTATATAGTCTGGACCCCATCACTTCAGTGCTTATTTTTAGTTCCTTTTCCTTATTCTCTCCTCAGTTCTCTGTAATCTGACTTCTGCCTCACTACACCAATGAAACTGCCCTCTCCAGGGGTACAGACAAATATCTTGTTGCTATTATTACTTAAGTGCTTAGTTTGTTACTAGATTTTTACTTTGAATTGTTTCTTTAAAAAATTTTTCTTTTGTGAACTAATCTTAGCCTTCTAGGTGGTAAAAATTAGTTAGGTTTGACTAACAGTAATTTTAAAAGTTGATTATCATTTCATAAACTAAATGACATTTTCTTCCTTTTCAGTTTTTGTTACTAAAATTTGCCTCACAAAAAGGTTATTCAGCACCTTTTAGATTAATTTGCAATGTGGTATAATTAAGCACAAAAAATGTTATATATATGTTTATATATTTCTGTGATAATCTTTTAAAAATTAATGTTAATTCTTGTTTTGCAGTTGAAGCTTTGTATCAATCTACATACCCAGAATATCTCCAGTACATTTATTTGGTGGCACCAATATCTCTTATGATGCTAAATCCTATAGGGTTTATCTTCTGTGAAATACAGAAGTCGAAAGACACTCAAAATACTTCTCAAAACAAAATAAAAATTGTGGGTCTTGGATTTCTTCGTGTGTTACAGAACCCAATAGTATTTATGGTCTTCATTGGTATTGCCTTCAATTTTATTCTTGATAAAAAGGTGCCCATATATATGGAAAATTTTCTTGATGGACTTGCAAATTCTTTTTCTGGATCAGCCCTATTTTATCTTGGTCTTACAATGGTAGGAAAAATAAAGAGACTGAAGAAGTCAGCATTTGTTGTACTAATTCTTCTCATCACAGCTAAACTGTAAGTTTTACATATTTTTAACTTAGAAATTGTACTTTGTAAAAGTCATGTTTAGCCAAATTGTTAGAGTATGGCTACAACTATTGTTTCCTTTGAATATTAGCATTTCCTTGTAGAATAGTTGTAATTTAAAGGAAAATGGGATATTGGTGTATTGTGGAAAGTCATTTCTTTGTTCCATTTTATTGCATTTTACTATCAGAGGATTATAGGCTGGTTTTTTTTTCCTGCTTTTTCTTGTTTTTAGTTTTTATGTGAAATGTACTTAATATCTCCTAATGTCCTAGTTAAAACATATCTTATCTATTTACTTTTTTGTTGTTATTTTTGCAGTGCTGGGTACATGCTAGGCAAATACTCTACCACAGAGCTGCATACCCTAGATCATGTTTTTAAAGGAATTTTGTAGGATTTTAAAATCAGCTAAAATCCTAAAGTCAAAAACATTTTAGTATGTAAGAATAATAATTCTTTTAGTGTAAACTATTTTTTCACAAATTTGGGAAAGATATTCTGAATTCTGAGTTTGGCTAAACTTTCTAAATATAGGCAAGTCAATATGAATGTCATTAGACATCTGATTCCACCTTGTCAAATAAAAAGGTTTTTTTTTAGCAACTTAGTTAATAGTTCCTCAGCTTACTTGGCTCATCAACCCTGGAGTTATACTTCCTGGTGCAGTTGATGTAATTTTACTTTGATACTTAACTATGGTTATAGTATAGGCAGTTAAATTCATGAGAACAGTACAATATGATATGTATTTATATTTCTAAAATAAATAAAAATGAACATAAGTTCTGAAAATTATTTATGGCTTTGGTATGTTCCTCAGAAACAAAGTATTAATTAGTATTGCCATTATAATAAATATAGTTCCAACAATAATGAAGTATTATCAACTTCAACTTACAAGTATTCTAACGAAGTATTTTTTCTGGACTCGGAGCATGGCCCAAGTGTTAGAGTGCTTGCATTTGAGTCCCTGGGTTCAATACATAGTACTGCTAAAACCCTTTTATCTGAGTTTTTGAATCTTACTAATTTTAATTCTTTTTAACTACAAAATATAGCTGGGCACTGGTGGCTTACTCATCCTAGCTACTTGGGAGGCTGAGATCGGGAGGTTAAAAACCATCCTGGGCAAATAGTTCATGAGACCCCATCTCCAAAATTAGCAGAGCAAAGTGGACTGGAGGTATGGCTCAAACAGTAGAGCTTCTGCTTTGCAAGCACAAAGCCCTGAGTTCAAACCCCAGTCCAATCAAAAAAACAAAACAAAACAAAAACAAGAACCAAGAGTAATTCTTTACTTCATCCCAGAGTCTTTCTCTAGGGATCTCTAGTTATCTAGTTGATAACTGTGACCATGTTATCAACTTTGGTCTTGCTGGTTTTAAAGGAGAACCCACTATCTTAGATACTGGTGTTATGTTCTTTCTATGGAATCCTGAAATTTTTGCTTAATAATTGGCTCTTCATCACATCTGTGTTTCACTTGTTTTCTACTCCACCTCAGTTGTTTCAGTTCCCTGTGCTAAATCTTTTTCTATTCACAGAGATGAAAAGCTAATTATAAAACACTTACTTTTCTACTGTTTAGGCTATTACTGAGCAGCACTGTCATCATTAACTGAACCATTTAAATTTCTAATCAAAATAAGGTTCAACTTTTTTTTTCCAAATAAGAGTTTAGTAATTTTCTTAAAAGAAGTTCTTAGTCAAATTGTAAACCATTTTTTTTTCTTTTAACACTTGAGTTAACCAATACAGGAAACAAGAAAGCCATAATCACAACTTTCATCATTTTTTACAAGAAAAATATTTGTGGAATTAAAAAAAATCTGGTTTTCCTCATAGTCCCTGATGCTTGAAGTATTTCTACAATGTTGTTACACTTGAAATGACTCCCAGCTGAATTCTTAATTCTTTCAACAATATACCCAGAAGCAATCAGTCATGCACAGAATATATGCATGCAAATACATACAGCTTCTAGGCAGGAGAAGAATAACTTAATGCCAGGTTCACTAGAGCAATCTCCTACTTAGGGACAAGCATGCGTTACTATCAAGTGAATTATGTATTTCTTCTTTCTTCAGCTTGGTGCTGCCACTTCTGTGCAGAGAAATGGTGGAACTATTGGACAAGGGTGACAGTGTAGTGAACCATACAAGTCTATCGAATTATGCATTTTTGTATGGTGTCTTTCCTGTAGCACCAGGAGTGGCTATCTTTGCAACACAGTTCAACATGGAAGTAGAGATTGTATGTATACACTATTTTGAAGTTTGATTCTTTCTGTAGTTAATAGACAAATGAACTTTTGAAACACTGAAAACATTTTTAATGAGAATTTCATATCTCTAAGCTACTTCATTGTAAATAAGGAGGCATCGTGTAACATCATGTAACAATATTTAATATCAGGTCTTTATTCATCCATGTTTTTTATTAGTCTTTTTTAGTTTTAAGTACTTTTTTCTATACTTAAACTTTAAATTTATTTACAGAAGGGAATTTTTGAAATTTTTAGGAAAAAAATCTATTTCATTCTTGATAATTCAATCCCAGATGCAAAATACCACATAACCAACTGCATCAAATAGCTAAACTCAATTAACTTCAAATTATTAAATATCTAACACCAAATTGTTAACAATGTCTGAGTGTATTGCACATGCTATTTATACCATTAAAGGATCTTGAAATGTAATATGAAGGAACTAAATTATTTAATGAAGGTCAGTTCCATTATTTAATCTGTAAAACGTTTGTATGGTAATTTTCCTCTTTTCAAATTGCTTTTTTTGCCCTATATTTTATGAAATAGTATGGCAAGACACTGTTCATAGATTCAATAGCTCATCAAAAGAGTATACTTTCTAGAACCCAGAAGATGAGCAGTGGTGGATTTCTAGTGTTCCTTATGTTAAATATAGTTGAGCATAGACTGGAACAGAGACCAAGAGAACTTACTTGTGTTTTCTCTTTTAAGGACTCTCAGAAAAGGGAAATATGTTATCAAAAAGTATGCTGGATTCTATAACGTTTTTACTGGCTCATTTTTACTTTAGAATGTATAATGTTTAAAGTTTAAGGTAATTGTTTAAGTAGGATCATGACTCTTCTGTTTGATCTCATTTTTGCAGATAACCTCAGGGATGGTAATAAGCACATTCGTGTCTGCTCCCATCATGTATGTTTCTGCCTGGTTACTGACCTTTCCCACTATGGACCCTAAGCCATTGGCATATGCCATCCAGAATGTTAGTTTTGATATAAGTATTATCAGCTTGGTCTCATTGGTGAGTATGTTTCAGTGTAAATTGGATGGAAACCACAAAATAAATTTGAGAATAACTGGTAATAGAGAAGGATTAAAATTTTAGTTCTTATGAACTACAGGAAAGCTTGATTTGAATTCTGGCCCTGTCACAAATGAGCTGTGTGTCTCTGTGGAGTTAGCTACTTCAAGCTTTCTAAGCTTCAGTTTTCTCAGCTATAAAATAAAGATAGTAATTTCACCTATTTCCATGGATTGATTTAAGGATTGATAAATATGGTAAGCATTCTGTGAATAATGAATCACTATACACATACTAGCTGTTATAGAATCATGGGACCAGAAGAGCTCTTTGGGATCAAGTTCAGCCACATATTTAATGTTAGTGAACCTTTAGATAACTTCTCAAGTAAGATACATCTAACACAAATGAAATAATTAAGCATTTGACAACTAGAGTATCTTGTAGATAAATTGCCTATTGAATTTAAGCAGTATTCTGGATGAAAATACAAAGGGCAATGTTTAATCTTAAATGAAATGGAGATAAATATGTATGTTGGCAACAAATAAATGCATGAGTAGTATAATTTTTAAGAAATCTCATGTTTGTCACATATACTTAAAATCTTTGTCCCGTTGATAAGAGGGAAGTTTGGGGAGAGACTGTACAGACTTCTACTGGCAATGCAGGGTTAATGAAGGAAGTTGATTTATGTGGCCGCTTGTGTAGGTAGAACAGAAACCCAGTTCTGTGGTAGAGGGTGTGTTCAGGTTCAGCATGGGCACAGCCTAGCCTTTGGTCCCCAGTACTGGAAAAAAAAAATAAGAAAAAAGAAAAGAAATCCAATTGTTTTTAAAATGAGCAGTGCAAGAAGATTAATTTTGGTGTGGTGGTGTGTATTGTGTGAAGTATGACAGCCTGGAATTTAGATTCCTCACAAACCAGTATGGTAGAAATCAAAAAAGAAAAACTTGTACTAGTATATTATATCTCCACCAAAGCTCTAGTCCTGAATAACTGGCTGTGATCCAGTGTCCACTCTAACCACTCAAGGTAGGCATGCTTCGAACATGGCCCTGGGCAAGGCATTAATTCTTAAACACCTATAATTTTTAAATAGTTAATTAACTGTGGGATCTTTCGATGCTTTTTATTTTACTTGGGATAAGTAATTTGCCTTAATACCCTTTAGGAGCTAGATGGCTTAAAACATTGAAATTACTTTCTGAGCCAGGATAAAGAAGTTTTATTCTTTTTTTATTTGTTTTATTTATTTTTGGCGGCACTGGGGCTTGAATTAGGGCCCCACACTTGCAAGGCAGGCACTCTTACCACTTGAGCCACTCTGCCAGCCCTTTTTTGTGATGGTTCCCCCCAACTGTTACCCCAGGGATGTCTTCCAACTGAGACCCTTCTGGTCTCTGCCTCCTGAGTAGCTAGCATTACAGACGTGAGCCACAGGTACCTGGCTACAAAGACTCTTTAAACATACTAATCTTGGGGCTGGGAGTGAAGCTTAGTAGTCGAGTGCTTGCCTAGCATGCATGAGGTCCTGGGTTTGATCCAACACTGTAATTTAAAAAATGCTAATCAATGTGCTATTTAATAAGGAATTACAAAGACTAAGGTACATTAATAACTTTTGTACCTTTTCCTTCAAGATCTGGTCTCTGGCTATTCTTCTTTTGAGTAAGAAATACAAGCAGCTTCCTCATATGCTTACTACTAATTTACTCATTGCTCAGGTAGGTTATACCTATAGATATTTAGTATACCTATGTACAGGCTGCTTTTCTCAGGGACTGTACAGGAGAAAATTAATTTGTTACATTTTTTTCCAGTTATAAAATCACAAGTTTTACCATGTACAATCAATTATAATTTGATTATGCCTAATACACTAAATATTGCAATAGGTCTTTAAGTTGAGGCTAATAATGACAGTTGATAATAACTATTCATTTTTAATAGAAATAATTGAATCATTAAAAATTGAACTCTCACCGTCTTATTTTCCTAGTCAAATCTTTGCATGTCTCAAATCATAATGGGAAAAAGTTTAGCATTTTCTATGTAAACTATTACTAAATACAAGGTTGATATTTAGAATGTGGTTATTGTCAGTTTCTATGATTATGTTCATTGTTAAAGGCTTTGTATAAAAAGGGTTTATTATCAGACAGCTTGAAATTTTAGTATAAACTAGTATGCAATCGTTGATAATTATTCAGCAGTAATTTAAAATGAATGATTATATTTTCTGTGAATAAAATTTACATGAGTATGACTGGCTTAATAGCTGTTTTCTGTGATAGCATTGAATCATATGATTTTCTTAGCTATTTTCAAAGTCTTTTAATAATTTTTTCTTTAGTCTATTGTCTGTGCTGGAATGATGATATGGAATTTCGTTAAGGAAAAAAATTTTGTTGGACAAATTTTGGTGTTTGTTCTATTGTACAGCTCCCTGTATAGCACCTACCTGTGGACAGGTAAGTTGACATGAATGGACACTGAGGTCTTTCCCCTTCTCCCTCCCCCCCATGAAGGCTTCTACTTCCAGTGATTTACTGGAAGTACAGGATCAAGGTGTTCACACAGATCATTGCACCCCCTCACAACAGACAGTCTGCACAGCTGTATTCTGTTTCCTCGTGCTCTATTTCTGCCTGGGCTCATAGCCCTCTTCAATCACATGGTCCTTTTCCTCAGGGTCTTTGGCTCTAGGCCACTGTCAGCCCAGCTCCACTTGGGAGGCACCAAGAGGGCAGTGCTAAAGGCAGATAGAGAAAGGTCAGAGGTATGTCCCAGAACTCACTATTGGAATCTTACAGAATTGAAAAACTGGCTTCGCTTTACATAAATTAATTACTTTGGGAGCCTCCATTTCTTCACCTGAACTGGATTATTTTAAGAATAAAACAAAGTATTGGTATTTCTGTTTGATACATGGTTGATGCTCAACAAATGGAACTATATTAGTTGTCAAGTAGAGGGGAAAAGTGCTAATATGAGAACAAGCAAAGTAGGAAAATAAAAGAGCATGGAAATAGAAGAGGACCCAATGAGAAAGATGGTTTCTCATTTCCACTGGCTCCAAAAAGGATATTCAAAATGTTTAAGCATATCGCTATTGTGAAGTATAATGTTTATTTGGATGCAGACATTCTGGTTTGTTTGTGAAAAATTCTGTCTGGCTGCTTTGTGTTCACACCACAAATTTGAACCTGTTAGATGATACATAAGGGGAAATTGTAGAATGGTTAGGAGGTGACTGTCAGGAAATGTCTGTGAAGGCCAGACCTCTGATTTCATGCATTCAGGATCAAAAGCAGGTCCTGTCTAAGTCAACAATCTTTTGAAGTGAAGCAACAATGTGGGAGGAATTACAGACTGAAAAATGCAGTGCAAAAAAGATGGTTTGTGCTTTTTAGAGGCAAGTAAACCTTCCATAGCGTAAGAGTTTCATGAGATGTCAAGTCTTTTACTCATAATTCCAATTCTAGATAGACCAACCTGATCTCTAATTACATAGGTTTATTTGGGTATAATTTATTATGAGAATAAGAGAACAGCAAATAGATCAATATATCAAAAGCCCCAACTCTCTTTAAAACCTTGTTCAAGCACACATATAAAAATATAGAAAGAAGTTGTTCTAATTCCCTGACCCCAATGAAGGTGCCCTATAACCTTCAGATTATTATAGTATGACAATTTTAGATCCATAAGTGTATTTTAAAATTGCATGTTTAGTCATTTTCAATTCACTTACTTGCATACTAGCCTCACAATTTTTGCCCTGTCTGCATGCCACTTGTTTGTTTGTTTTCCTTAAAACTGATGTATTTTTTAAACTTCAATCAATCGAGGGTTTTTTTTTCTTTTGTAGGGTGGGGTTCCATGCTTGCAAAGCGGGCACTCTACCACTTGAACCATATCTCCAGTTCATTTTGCTCTGGTTATTTTGGGGATAGGGGTCTCACAAAATATTTGTACGGGCTGGCCTTGAGCCTTGATCCTCCTTATTGCAGCCTCTCAAGTAGCCAGGATTACAGGCAAGAGCCACCAGTGCCAGGCTCAACCGAGTCTTGTTGTATCAATGAAGTCCCAGGTTTCATGTGCTAATTTAGCAATTTCAAATTCACATTAAATGCATTAGTCAAAAAAATTAATTGTTGTGTTACTCTAATTTAAGTCCTTCATTTTGCAAATTAGGAAAACAGGCCGAAAGAATTAAACAGATTTGAGGCAGGAAGCCTCGCATCTTCCACAGTGAGAGATGCAGGGCTAGATTCTGCCTGATATTATGTGGTTCTTTTCACAAGGTAAGAATGATAAGTAGTAGAATTTGAAAGAGTGCCCTAGCTACTGTAAAACAGGTGGCACACCTTTGTGATCAGTCACTTGTTTCCCTGGCACTTTGAAAACCTGAGACTATAGAGTGTACAAATGTATCCAGGTAGAAGCAGTGGTAAAGAAAAATAATTCTCAAGGACCTGGATGTGGATTTGTGTTAATTCTAGCATAGTGTTACTGCATCTGTACAATCTGAAATTTGGGTGTGAATTCTTTATACACACCTATAAAAGCAAAGCAGATTCACAGATTGGATTCAAACAAAGCAACCAGCCCAGTTCTAATTAGCAGTGTTAATAAACATGACAAATGATCTTGTTTTTGCTAATGTAAATTACAACTAGAAATGTAAAATAGAACTCTCTTCCCTGATTTTTTAGTTTGGCTTGTCTTTACTTCTATATATAGGGTCATGACCTGGTTATCTCACTATTTCTCTTTCTTCAAACTACCACAGAACCTTTATTTGGACTGTTTGTTGTGATATCATTTTGCTTTCACTTTGCTCAAACTTAATACAAAGACAAATGTAAGTTCTGAGATCATGAGGCTGTACTTGGTTTTAAGGTGGGCACACAGATCATAAAAAATAAACCCAGACTTTAAATTCTTTACGGTTATATTTATTTCCAGATCCTGAAGAATATGACATAGAAATACCAGGGGTCCACAAATCTGAGTTTGAGAAACCCTGAGATTTGAAGAATTTACCTTATGTCAGAATGCTGGGTTTCTAGACCAGCTCTGCCCTCTGCTGGTTATTAAGATTTGGGCAAACCCTTATTTCCATATCTATAAAAGGAAGGTGTTAATTTGAAACAGAGCTCCCTTCCAGCCCTCAATTTCTAAGATTCTTGAGCTCTGTAGAATTTATTAAATTAGATGTCACTCGTATAAAAATGACTGAGTATAAGGTATTGTGTTTGTATTAAGTTCATACCATGTTTGTATTAACTTTCATTACTACACTACACTTGAGACATTTTCTAAAAATATAACCTGTGTAAGAATTGCTTATACTTCTTAGCATCAACAAAGTGAGGGTCTTCTTAGAATTGTTCTGTATACAGTTAAAATTTTTTTCAATTATACTTAGATTCTAATCACATTAAGTCAAAAGAATAAAATGATTGGAGCTTTTGAAAAAAAAAATCCTCCTGGATGAAACACAGTTTGAGTAAAAAGAAACAAATGATTTTGAATCCAGAAAACTTTGCTTCAAAAATTGAGGAAAGCATTTATTTAGAAGGAGGAAATTATTGGGCAAAAACTATATGCTACAATGCTTGGTTTGTTTGTTTTTTTTAAAGTGAAGTCTGGTCAATGTCAAAAGTAATTACTTCTGTCTCAATCTTTATTTCTTGTTCTTAGGCCTTCTAGCAATTTCATTGTTTCTTTTAAAAAAGCGAGAAAGTGTACAAATTCCTGTTGGAATCATCATAATATCTGGCTGGGGGTAAGTTGGTAATTTTCTATTGCTTACATGTTCTGTATACATACACAGTTCATATTCATTCTTCTCCCAATAACCCTTGTTATTATAGAATTCCTGCTCTCCTTGTTGGTGTTCTCTTGATAACTGGAAAACACAATGGAGATAGCATTGACTCCGCCTTCTTTTATGGAAAAGAGCAGGTGGGAAGAGTTTATTGGCAGTTCTGTTCTTGAGAATGTCTCTTTTTAGCTTGTTAATGTGCCTTGCTATACTTACATTAAAATTAACTTTGAAAATCTATTTTAACCTATTGCATATCACAGTAGTGATCCTATATTACTTTGTCATACCCCAAAAGATGGTGAACATTTGACATGTCTAAGTCTATTTTTAGCTGAAGATTTCTAAATGCTTGAAACTTAATGAATTCTGCTTAAAAACACTTACAAATTATGTTTCCTCTCCTGAAGAAAAGAGTGGTTAATTTAAGGCCACTTAATAAGTTAGCAGTAATAGTAAATGTCAAATTCTTGATTCCCAATTCTATCAAAAGTATAAATTTCAGAACAAAATGTATCTGGGTTAAAATGTGCTTAAATAGCTTAGAGCAGAAGGGCTGTGGAACCTGCTGAATTCTCTAGGGGAAGGACCAAGAATGTGTATTTTTTTTTAAAAAACCTCCCCAAATGATTTTGATTTCTTACTCTTTTTTCTCTTTTGAGATTTTGATTTTAATTCAGTCTGTGACAATAAATAAGATTGTACATATAGAAGACTTACATTAGTGCGAGCCTGTAGTTAGTACAGTTAAGTATTAACTGTAATTATTTATTTTTACTCTCACTACCATAAGAAAGCCTCTTGTTGACTGAAGTGTGCTTGAACTACATGCAAAACTTAGAAGTAAAAGTCTGTAAGTAATCACTTTGATTACTTGTAAAGGAAACAAATGACTGTATCCTTAACTAATGGCTTGGTTAAAACTTTTTTCTACAACAAAGCATCTGGAAAACATATGATTATAAGCAAACCCTATTTTTTTTACAAGTACTTTAAATTCCTTACATATTCTTATCCAATTTAAGAACCACTGTTCTAGAGTATTTAAAGCTATGCCAGTGTATTTTCCATCAGAAAGTGTGCTAAGACACTTTTTATCAACATGGGATTGTGAAAAGTGGCCTAACATCTTTTTCTAATGCCTGCAGATGATCACCACGGCAGTGACACTGTTCTGCAGCATTCTGATAGCAGGGGTGTCTCTCATGTGCATGAACAGGACCACTCAAGCAGGACACTATGAAGGCTTTGGCCAGTCTCAGAGCCACAAACCAGTAGAGCCTGGGAGCACTGCTTTTGAGGAGAGTTCAGCACCAACAAACGAGCCAGAATTTTTTACAAGTTCTATCCCAGAACCAAGTATGATCTGTATTTTTAAAAAAATGTCACATGCCCTTATAATGTATCCCTAGAGTTTTGTGTAAGGGATGTTCCTTGAACTATTCTGAATCTCATAGGTATTTGTCACATGAAGCACTTGAATCATAGTTGTAATAGGGGGAACTTTCATATTCATTCATTCATTCAATTTTTCTTTATAAGTCTACTGTGAGAATAGTCTTTTGTTAAATTCTAAAATTTCCTGGGACCTGAGAGTTTAGAAAAAAGTAAAATGGGAAGGAAGGCCCTTCCTAGGAAACTTAAAACACATTCATTTTTAACTTAACCACATTGTATCAGGCAAGCACTATCATTACAGTGAACTAAGGGAGGCCTACTTGAGGCTGGGTTAATAGTAGAAATCAGGCACCTGAAAACTTATGTCCACAGACCGCATCAGGCCCCACTACTGCTTTTGTGTGGTTTTCAACTAAGAATGGTTTTTAAAGTTTTAAAGAATTAAAGAAAAATGGAAAGACAAGTATTCTGTGACTCTTGAAATTAGTCACAAAATTATATGAAACTTAAATTTCTTGTCTAGAATTTTATTGGAACATAGTCATGCTCATTCATGTATTACCTATGACTGCTTACCTGCTGTAATGCAGACTTGAATCATTATAATATTCTGTAGCCCTTTATGGAAAATGTTTGCTGATCTTTGGTATAAGAGAAAATATAATCCTAGCTAGTCTCTTTGTTAATAAGTGTTTCAGTTTACGAAGGAAACTCAGCATAGAGTATGCATTTTAGATTTATTGGTCCAGGTGGAGATTTTATAGACATAAGATACTATGCTAGAAAGTGTAGGTGATGGTACATATTTTATGTAAGAGAGTTTGTGGAACAGAGAGATGACTGGTTTAAAAACTATTAGTTGTAAATATCAAGAAGTGAAGGATAAGAAGGAAGACTGACAACAAGAGATAGAAGATAACATACATTTTAAGCCAGGCATGTTGGTGCATGCCTGTAATCCTAGCACTTGGGAGGCTGAGGCAGGAGTTCAAGTCCAGCCTGGACTACATAGTGAGACCTATCTCAAAAACAAAAAACAAAAAACAAAAAAACACATTTTAGTTATCTTAAAAGGAAGAAAATGCCACAGATCTTCCATTTTACAGTGCCTTTCTTTGTCTCTCATTTGCTTTCATCCCAAAATGGAAGTATATAAAAAAGTGCTTAAAAACATGGACTTAACTAGATGTGGTGGCACACATCTGTAATCTCAGCACTAAGGAGGCTTAGTAAAGACGATTGTGAGTTCAAGGCCAGCCTGGGCAACGGAGTTCGAGGCCACTCTGGGCTATAATAGTGAGACCCTGCCTTAAAAAACAAAAGACAAAAAACATGGGCCTAGAGCCATACTGCTCGGGTTCAAATCCTGTCTCCACAATTTACTATATTTGATCTTGGACAAGTTCCCTGTGCCTAAGTTTCCATATCTGATAATACTACCTACCCCAGAGGAATATGCGTGGATATGACTTAACATGTTTAAAGCCTAGCACATATTAAGTATGTAACAGGTATTAACGTTTTATAAAAAGAATATCCTTACAGCAAGGAATGCAAATACTCTGGAAGTCTATAAAAAGAAAAGCTAAAGTCTTACCTTCCCTAACCTCTAGTCCTACCCTTCTAGAGGCATTTTATAGCTTATATATTACTCAGACATTTTATTCCACTTTCTCTCATTTATGTATATCTCCACATAGAATTGTGCAAGGCATGATCTCCACAACTTATGCAGAGGTAATGAAGTACAAGAAGGCAGTGTTTCTGTTAGGTGCACTGTAAGATGCTCAGTAAAGCTTGAGCTCAGGGTGTTTAGGGGGAAGAGGTTGAAGACACAGTTGGACAGTCAGCAGATACAGGGGGCATTTCACACCATGGGAAAGTGTGAAGGTTTTGTCCTGTCACTGAAGGGTCACATCAGCAGTCTTTATAATAGGTTAGGCCTCACACAGGGCCTATACTGGGCAGCAGATGTGGAATGAACAGCACAGGTCAGATTCAGGAATTGCAGTGTTTAGTAATCGACTGGAAGCTGGGTGAGGACTAGGGAGGAACTGATGATAGTCCCAGGAATCTAGTGTAAGTGACTGTGGAATGGTGGGTTACTACTTAAGGAGAAGAATTCAGGGAGAATAGTTTTTTTAGGGAAAGATAATGAGTTCAATTTTTGAGCGTTCTAAGTTTTAAATACATGAAACACCAAAGACACATCCAAGTTCCTGAGTGTACCTCTTAAAATGGGATGTTTAGATTGGAACAGAGTATACCAAATATCCTGGTGTTTTCTTCCCCCCTGGTACTGAGGGTTTGAACTCAGAATTTTGCACTTGTAAAGCAGGTCCCCTACTGCTTGAGCCACATCTCCATCCTCATACCATAGTCTTTAGCAATAGTATATTTTCAGTATTTGTCAGATTCTTGATGACCGAGAGAAGAATATAGAGACTCATTCCTACCCTGATGTAGAAAAGAAATTTAAGGCTACCTAATATTATACTAGTTTTTATAGCAGTCAGAGTACCCTGATGGTTTCATCTTCAATTTATTGGCAACCTAAAAAACCTGAGTTCTCTTGTCACCCATACATTAATCATTGCAGGACAGTTGTCTCATCAATCCTGAATTTGTGCAACTGGTTTTAATATGTGTGTGTGTGTGTGTGTGTGTGTGTGTGTGTGTGTATGCGTGCACGCATGGTACTGGGGTTTGAACTCAGGGTCTTGTACTTGCTAGGAAGGTGCTCTACGACCTGAGCCATAGCCCTAGCCCCAGCCTGCAACTGACTTTTAAAAGACCAAGATAGGACTTTAGTATTTATCTGAGCCTATCATGACTATAATTTCTTTGTACCTTGATTTGCCATCAAATATGTCAACTTCTGTATTATGTATTATTTCTTTTTCTTCTGTAGAACATAAAAGGTACAAGAATATGGTAGGGAATTTGGAATTAATAAAAGTGAACATGTTGACATATTTGTATCACATGCTTTTTTCTTTTTTAAAAGAAATAAAACATTATCAATAAAGTTGAAATCTTTGTTCCCTACTCCATTCATATTAACCACAGAGGTATCTATTATTCTGAATTTGGCCTACATCCTTTCAGAGTAGTTTTACATTCAATTTTTATAATACATATCTGGTATTATGGTATAATTTCATGTGTTTTTAAATTTTTATATAAATCTTAAACTGCAGTTAGTTTATTGTGCTCAACATTTTTTGAAGTCTATCCATGCAGTAGATGTATCCAATTATATGAATATACCAAGTTTTATTCATCCTTTTCCTTACTGAGGGACATTGAAGTTGCTTTAAAGTATTTTGCTATTGGAAACAATGCTGCAGTGTACATCTCTATTCACATGTCCTTGAGTACACATCAAGAAGATTCCTAGGATGTTAATTTTTGCATCATAGGAGATAGATATATTCTCATGGCTTTAATGTTAAGTCTTTGTACATGGTTCATAAAATCATATCTCTAACCTACCCCATCTATAGGTTCAATCCCAGATTTTCTGCTGCCTATTACATGTATTACTTATATCTCTTTCTATATATGTAACCAGAACTTATTTATTTTCAAACATACTTGAGCTTTAATAATTCTGTTTCTTTTATTGGTTCCACCATTCTTCAGGACTTAAGGACACATCTCTTTGGTTTCCCTCTCAGACAGATTAGATACTCAGAACAAGTAGTTCTTCCATAGGGCCCTCCATCTACCCTTGACCTCCATTCTCCATTGTGACCTCTAGTCTCTCTATAAGATTCCTTCCTACTGGACTGCCTATCTCCTATCACTCCCTGGTCCAGTCTGTTTTATGTGAAATGGCCAAATTAATCTTTGTTAGCGATTTCTGGTCACATCAGGCTCTTGCTGCAGAGGCCCTTGCAGTACTGCAAGGTCCAGACCCGTGTACATGGTGCCCAAGTCCCTCCTCAACCTGGCCGTACCCTGTTCAGACTGTGTTCCCTTCAGCTCTGTCTGTTCTACACTACTAAACCCTCCATGCCTTGCCACAAACTGGCACTCATATTGTCTCATCTCTCTTCATGCTTTTATCTCATGAACTTTGCATGGACTGATTGAACCCAGGGTTCCCCTACTTGAGCCACACCCCAGCCCTTTCATTAAAATTTGAAAAGCTATTTTCCCTAAGCCTCGGGTACTTCTCTGATCATTCCCAACATTTTTTCCTTCCTTACTTCCTTTGCAGACTCTTGCATTTTTCCTATGAACCAGTCCAGTGTTTGATTTTGGGCAAGGTTTAAAGACCACCACCTCCAGCTGGCTCTGTTCTTCTATGAGTGTTTTAGGTCGGGCTAACAAAGGCCTAACAGCATCTGTGGGACACACTGAACAGGGGACTTGCTGCTACCTGTCTTTAAAAACAGCAGATAACGTATACCATAGACTTCCTTTAAGTCCTGTCATTATCATCTTCAGATAGAACATTAATCTGAACCTCTAGTATAAATAAATGGAGAGCCAGAAGACAGCTATCCCTTATCTCTGTAGGAAACCTTCTGCCATGTTTATACTTCCTTCTCTTATCTCACTATGTTATAATTGCTTTTTAGGTTGTTTGTATAACCTACTAGACTGTAAGTACTATCTGTGTCTGACTTGTCTATCATTAGAGCCTCAGCACCTAGAATAATATCAGGCTTCCTGTACATATTTAGTAATATTTGTCAAATGGATGGATAGGTGGGGGGTGGAATAAGCTATTCCATGATTCTCTGAATTTATTCACCTGTTCACTCGTGTTCCTAATGAAAAGGTTTTTAAACTTGTCTGGTTATTCTCTTCCCTAAATCCTGCTCTTTCTGCCTTGCTAGTACTACTAACACATAACACCATAGATGTCCAGCCTACTCTTCCATAAACTTGTAATTGAAAACCGCTCATTTACCTCTGCTCCCTTCTATACATTTGTCAGACTCCTAAGATTTACACATGTCATAAGTATGGAATTAAGATTGAAAGGCAAATTAACCTATTTTAATATGAGATCAAGACTGATGGACTACTTATAAACCCTTATCTCTGAAGAAAGAATACTTTTTTAGGTGGCCATATTGTATGCTTATGTTCACATGTGTGAGTGTGTACTCATGCCCTAGAGGTGTCATTGGAGTGGGCTGGCTTTATATGTGTTTTCTTAATAATTTTGTCTTAGCTTATTTAAATCCTCAAGTTTTTGAAGAGAGTTGGGCCGGATAATCTCTTTCTTTTCTTTTCTTTTATTCTGCAGTTCTATTTTAACCTTGAGTTGGCATCATTATCTTAAATTTAGAAAGACATAATAGCTTATTGTAGATTGTAGTTTTATACTTTGGAATCTTTTTTGTTTTTGAGAACTTAAGGACATTATCAATGAGAGGTTAAGCCTTAAGAGTTATTCATTTTTCTAGCATATTGTTTTAATAGTTTATCGCTGAAGTTATTCTATTATAAACCGTGTCAAGGAGCACCACGTCTATTTAAATGTGAAATGTTTTACAGGGCACTTCGTGCAGTTCTCTGACTACATAAAGGAAAAATTACTGCTCCAAAGCAGATGTCTCAGTGTGACTTCTGTAAACCAATCTGCCTATAAACCAGCAAGAGATCTTTCAGCAGTAATATTTGAAAAGAAAAAAGTATATAATTGTTTTTACTGCATTTTTTAGATTAATAAGATACATGTTTTTGAAAGAAGTAAATTTTGAGCTGAACTTAAATAAGGACAGGATTTGATCAGCCTAGGTCCAAATGGGGCTAGTAGAGGACTCAGAAGAATGGTCCTGAAAGAAGCAAAGGTTTTTTGTTGAATAACAGGGCGGGCAGGAAGAGAGGCCAAGTTTTAGAGAGCTTTCATAGTTAGGCTAGTAAGTTTGAATTTTCCACAGTAATCAATAGAGCATTAACATGTGTTTTTGAGGAATGATTGAATAAAATCTTGTTTTAGGAAAGTGTTTGAATTCTTAGTTCTCAAAGCATAGTGGAAATAAAGCAGCAGGGATAAAAACATTTTTTCTGGTCTCATAGAGTGAGGAAACAGTATGTGAAGGAGCCCAACATTTTTCTGGCACTGTTTAAATGTTAACTTCTGTATTGACACATTTGGATACTTTTTTCTTTTGGTGGTCCTGGGGGATTGAACTGAGGGTCTTGTGCTTGCTGGGCACTCCACCATTGAGCCACTCCGACAGCCCATTTTGTATTGGTTATTTTTGTGATAAAGTCTTGCTTTATTTTCCTAGTCCTTCTATTTGTGCTTCCCCATGTGGCTGGGATGACAGGCATGGGCCACTATGCCCAGCCATTGGTTAAGATGGGGTCTAGTGAACTTTTTGCCCAGGCTGACCTCAAACCATGATCCTTCCAATCTCCACCTCCCAAGAAGTTAGGATTACAGCCTTGGGCCTCTGCACCCGGCTGGATACTTTTTGGTAGATGTCATCTGAAAACATTTCCAAGGAGGCTGCACGAGTGGGTTTGGTTTTGTTGGCATCTTGAACTTCTTCATCTCTGCTGTGGCTGTGCTCTACCTTCACATATCATTTTGTCTATGTAGGTTGCTGCTCTTGCTCCATGGGAAATGGTGAATTACACTGCTCAGCAACAGAGCCAGTAGCAAACACAAGCACCAGTGGGCCTGTGACTCCTTCATTTGAGAAAAGTAAGTGCCTCTGGGCTATGAGGATGGGCTTGGAAAACAGCCGATTTCTTCCTTATCCTTATGCTTCAAAAGAACTCTACACAGGGTTTTCTCTAGAAGCTACAACACTAATGAAAACTGTTAGAGAATATGGATTCTCAAATAAGACGGAGAAAAGTGCTGACAGGATAATAATTATGCAGATAGAGTACTCATTTAAAAAATAAAGTTCTTATAGTAATAGGCAGCATTGTACACATGGCTGGTGATATATCTCAGTGGTAGGGTACTTGCCCTAAGGCCCTAACTTCAATCCCTAGCCAAAAAAAGAAAAACAAGAAAAGAAAAAAAAATCAATTTGTGATAAAACCAAGAAGTTTGCCCTAAACTTAGGCCATTATTGGGGTTTTTGACCTTTTATTTGTTTTAGAAACTGGGATGTTCTCTCCACCTCTTACCCCCAAGGTTAATTAAGTAGTGCTCAATTGCCCTGTGAATATTTATGCTTTAATATGCCTTTTCTTTTTGTACTGGGGCTTAAACTTGGGGTCTACATCTTGAGCCACTCCACCAGCACCCCAAGCCCTTTTTTTTAATGGTTTTTTTCAAGATAGTGTCTTGGGAACTATTTGCCAGGGCTGGCTTCAAAACCACGATCCTCCTGATCTCTGCCTCCTGAGTAGCTAGGATTACGGGTGTGAGCCACTAGCACCTGGCACCTTTTCATATAAAATAAGAAAAAAACTTGAAAGGTAATAACCTTTTAGGCTCAGTGTGGCGGTACATGCCTATGGTTCCAGCTACTCGTGGGGCAGAAGTAAGAGGATTGAGGTTCCAGGCCTGGCTGGGCAAAATTAGCCAAGACCCTGTCTGAAAAACAAACTAAAAAACAAATGAATTGGGGGCATAGCTCAAATGGTAGAGCAGGTTTTTTTAGCAAGCATGAGGCCCTGAGTTCAATCCCCAGGACCACAAATAATAATAATAATAATAATAACAACAACAACATTTTGGCATATAAACTAAGAGACTGAGTCACATTTTTTCTTTTTTGGTGTACTGGCATTTGAACTCAGGGTCTTGTGCTTACTAGAGAGGCACTCTACCACTTGAGTAATATGTGCAGCCTGTTGTTTACTTTAGTTATTTTCAGATAGGGTGGCATACCTTTTGCCTGGGGCCAGCCTCTTTCCTCTCCGCTCCTACCTGTGCCTTCTGCATAGCTGGAATGACAGACAAGGGCCCCCATACCCAGCATGTTGGTTGAGATGGGGTCTTGCAAATTTTTTGCCCGTGCTGGCTTGAACCAAGATCTTCCCAATCCCCACTCCCCAAATAACTGTGTTACAGACGTGTACCACCATGCCCAGCCTGAATCACATTTTTGGTTCAAATTTCAAATTATTTAAAATAAGCAAACATGATATGTGTTTTCCATTGATTATGCTTATTTATAATCAAACTAGTGGGGAAAACCACCAGAGCTCTCTTTATGATGAGACACCTGTCAATTGCATTGCTACTAAAGGCATATTTTTATCTAATAAAAGTTGTGTTGGGGATGTAGCGCAATGGCAGAGCCTAGCATGCTCAAGGCCCTGGGTTCAATCCCCGGTACCATAAAAGAAAATGTTGTGAAGCATATAAGAAACCATTTAGCACTATGTGTGATTTATGTGGTAAATGCTCTTTAAATGTGGCAGCAGCAGTAGCACTTGTCATTCAGGTGGCATTTGTATTTGCCTGCTCTCTGCTAGCTACAAGTGAATCTTAAATAACAGAATTCACATTTCCATAGAAAGAATTAAAAACATAGCAGATGTTGAACCTATGCTAACTTTTTCTGATAGAAAACCACTTCTGGCATTTAGTTAATCTGTCTTTCAAGGTAGTTTTTTTTTTTTTTTTGATGTTTCCTTTCTAAAACTAATATTTCCTTATATCAGAAGTCCCAAAGCTTTATTCCTTATTTTTTTCTCCCAACACAGTGTATCTACTAGTAAACTCTTTAACAAATTCTAGTCTGGCAACTTTTTTTCTGCCCCTCAAAGTCTCTATAAACTTTGTCACTTTCTTCATTACTAATGCTGATTCCTGTGAACTTTTAATTATATAAGACTTAAATTTTTTTCTGATCACATCTTGCAAAAATTGTGTACAATGAGAGCCATCATATATGGACTTCATCAAGTCATATAATTTAGTATCATTCACAAACCTGAAAAATAGAAAAGTCTAAAGGAAATGAAACCATGAACAAATGAAAATTTTTAGAGTTTAACAATATAATTCACCCCACACCCCTTGCCATACACAAAAGCAAATAAACATTTATTTAGACTGATGAATGGCAACATAAGTAAAAGGCAAAGAAAGAAAGTAAAATTTATTTTTACCCATTTTTGTAATATCTGTATATAATATTTTAAAATCAGGTTTATTATATATACTTCTAGAACTTTTGTTCACAAATTGTGTTAGTTGCTTTCTGTTATTGTGACAAAATACCTGAGATAATCAATAAAGGATGAAGGTTTATTTTGGTTCATGGTTTCAGTGCATGGTCACTTGGCCTATTGCTTTGGGCTTTGGGCTGTGATGGCATAGTACGTCATGGTGGAAGCATGTGGCAGAGACGCTGCTCACCTCATGGCAGCCAGGAAGGAGATAAAGAGTTGAGGAAAGGACAAGGTCCAACTCTTTATCTCCTTCAAGGGCATGCCTTCAGGGACCTAACTTCCCTCCACTCGGCCCTAACCCTAAAGGTTCCACCACCTCCCAATAGCACCGTGAGCTGGGGACCAAAACTTCAACATATGGGCCTTTGGGAGACATTCCATATCCAAATTATAGCAGATATATACAATACTTTTCATTAAATGGGATCATGCCATAGAGATAGCCTAATTTCGTACCATAGGGATAATCAACTCTTTTACTTATAATGGTGTTACTCTCCCCTGTGCCATTAATTATTGTGCTAGACCATGTTTAATGATTATGTATATCCTTTTCTAAAAAGTAGCTTTAAGAAATACAGATTTCTATTTTTAGCTTAAGGGTAAGAGCTATAAACATGTGCTTTCAAGTAATGGTCTCGTATAAGACTATATATACATTAGTCTGTGATATAAAAATATTTTTCCTAACTTTTGTTGTTGAAAAAGAAGCTTCCCTTGCCTCTGGTTTAGGTCAGAGAAGAGCTATGCCTGTGATTTGGGTTTGATTTCATATGTGAGCAAAACATAGCATATAATATTTGGTATCTTAAAGATCCTTTCTAAGACAAATTTTAAACTCTTTCATAAAAGGCAAGAGGTAATAATATATTTGTTTTACAGCTAACCAAAATAGGGTATAATAGAGCATTCGTGACTTATACATAGATTGATCACAGTTGAAATTTGAGTTAAACACTTAAAAATTACATGTATTTATACAATGTATAATGTATGTTAATATGTAATGTAATTATGTAACATTAGCTATGTAGATATAAAATACTGTTAAGTCATATCAAAGGGACTATTACTATTTGTGTTTTTTTCAGATAAAAACATCTTACAACTAAAACTTTCCTAAAACAACTTGAGGAAAAGCTCTCTTCCAATTTCATCAAAAATTATACTGATTCTTAGCTGAATGTGCTTTTTTGTTGTTCTTCTTAGGAAGTCATTATAAATTTAAAATGGATTCAAGTAAAAAGCTCTGATTACAAATTATTGTGCTTACTGTTTTATAGATGATCACTGCGTGAGTCGCTGTAACTCCCAGAGCTGCATATTAGCCCAGGAAGAAGAACAGTATCTGCAGAGTGGGGACCAGCAACTGACTCGACATGTCTTGCTGTGTTTACTTCTCGTTATTGGCATGTTTGCTGTAAATGTTTCTTCCGTTTTTGTTTCGGGGTTATTTCTTTAAGTGTTTGGCAAAGGTTTTATTTAGGCATCTGGTTGAAACTTAGCTGCTACTTTGCAGGATTGTGGTAGCAAAGCCCTCTGAGTTCTAACCTTAAGTGAACATTTTTGCTTGGGCAGGGAATGAAATCATTCACATTACTCTGTTGCCTAAGAACGCCAGCAGCCTATTGTGCTTACAATCACTTATTCACTTGTTCATGCTACACTTACTCCTAACGTATTTGACTGACCAAAGTAGACAGATGCCTACATTATCTCTCAGAAGATATTTCTAAGATAAATAAACTTTAAAAATATTTTATGAAAGAATTTAGAAAAATATCTATCATACTCTTTTTTTTTTTTTTTTTTTTGTGGTGCTAGGAACTGAACTCATCAGGACTTTCTTTGTACATGCTAGGCAAGTGCTCTACCACTGAGCTACATCTGCAGCCCTTGGTGTTATTGTTGTTGTTTGAACTCAGAGCCTTGTACTTGCTAGGCAGGTGCTATACCACGTGAGTCAAGCCCCCACCCCTTAGCCTGTCGGTTTTTGAGACAAGGTCTTACTAAGTTGCTCAGGTTGGTCTCAAATTCTATATCTTCCTGCCCAGCCTCCAAAGGCTGGTATTTACAGGTGTTTGCCACCACACCTGGCCCTGCCTTCTAGTTTTAACACACTTTTCATGGTTCTAATCACTTATATGGATTTATATCCTGCTTTTTTCACTTATTTTCATATTACTGCATAAGTGTTCATAACCATGGCTTTAAATAGCTTTCCAGTAAACTACAGGAAAACTACATTATAATTTATTCAATTACTTCCTTACGAATTGTTCCTAGTGTTTTGTATTTCCTAATGTTAATGATGTATTCCCAAAGTTGAGAGCCCTGCATCAAAGCATATAAATATCTATGGCTTTAGATGCATTCTACTAAATTGGTTTCCGAAGGGTAGTCTAAATGTATGTAGCACTCTCATTAGCCTTGAATGTTGTAAATTTTGTAATTGGATAATTTATAAGAGCAATACAATACTTTATTTTTAATGCATACATTTCTTTAATTATTAAAGGTTTTTTAATTAGCCATATATTCCATTTTGTGAATTATCAGTTATATAATTATATAATTCTTGAAGATGGCTCAAGTGTAATCCCCCTAGAGTGGGAGATGGACCACATAGCTAGCTATGAGACCTTTTCACCTGGGGATGCTCATTGCTTACTATGATATCAGCCAGCAGCACTTTAACTGCTGTTTAAGACCAAAAATCAAAAAATAAATGCTGCCAAGAATCGCTGCTTAGTGATATAATTGTTTTCATTGTGTAGGACTCATTTTAAAATCCATCCTGTCTTAGGCTAGTTGGCAGTCCTGGTATATTATGTAAGCTTCTGTATTATGGCTCATGTCTTCTCACTTCAAATCTGATCAGAATAGACACTGTTTGAATGACATGTGTCAAGAGGAGAGGTTGAAACCTCTTGTTTGAAAGACAAAGCCTCTATAGTCTTTCAGTGTTTTTCCCCTTTCGTCTTTTCTTCCCTAATTATTAAGTAGAAGTCACTGTACTGTTCTGGATGGAGAGAAATGATTAGCATGCTTCATTTTAAAGGTCCCTTTTCTCCCTCCTATATAGAATCTTTCCAGTTGTCTATGGTGGCTGTTCAACCAGGAGCCTGGAAGACTATATGTTGAGTTACAGTTTTTCTGTGCTGTGTTTAACTTTGGCCAGGTATTTATTTACTGAAAATTATGAGGGTTTTTTGTGAGTTGATTGGGGGGGGGCGGTATTTTCTTTTAAATCAAAAGAATTTAGTTTGTTTGCCAGCTGCTGGTATATGTGACAGCTGACAGCTGCTGCCTGTCTCCTAGTAGAAATGAATTATTATATTGGTTAAAGTCATCAGAATGTACACTGAGTGTTTCAACCATAAATACCAAATAGTTCTTTGCTTTGGTTTTGAGATAAAGAATGAAATTTAAGCAGGAACAAGATGTCCTACTTTTTTTTTTTAAACTTTTTTTGTGATCTTAGTTCACTTTTGGAAATAATTTACCTTCCTGGAGCCTTTAATTTAGCCACTTAAATTGATAAACTCAATTTTGTTTATGTTTTGATGTGTTTTGAATAATTGGTACTTAAATCTTTATTGAAAATTCATGTGGTATGTAAATAAATTTTGGCCATGGGTAATAGTTACCTTTTATGAGAGTATACAATGTACCAACCATTATTAAGCATTTTACATTCATTATCTCATATTAAAACTAGAAAAATACTTGCAAAGTATTAAAAATTTAAAACTTCATAAGCTAAAGTTCCATCAAGAAGTTCTGTAGTGGGGCTGGGATGTAGCTCAGTGGTATAGCGCTTGCCTAGCATGCGTGAGGCCCTGGGTTCGATCCCAGCACCAAAAAAAAGAAAAAAGACAAAAAAGAAGTTCTGTAGTAAGCGCTGTTGTCTATGCTGTATCACCATTAAGATGGATATTTAAACCAGGTGCTGGTGGCTCATGCCTATAATCCTAACTACTTTGGGAGGCTGAGATTGGGAGGATTGTGGTTTGAGGTCAGCCCAGGCAAATAGTTCAAGAAGCCCCATCTCCAAATTAACCAGAGTAAAATAGACTGGAGGTGTGGCTCAAGTGGTAGAATGCCTGCTGTGAAGTCCTGAGTTCAAACCCCCAATTCACCAAAAAAAAAAAAAAGATGTTTAATGCCTAGCATCTCGAGGCCTGGGTTTGATCCCCAACCCTGAAAAAAGGTAGGATATTTAAGGATAAATGACATCTGACCTATTGAGAAATGGTTTTATATGCAAATTTCAATTTTTAATCTTTTGCAGTGTTGGGGATAGAACTGAGGGCCTTGCACATGCTAGGCAACTGCCCTACCACTGAGCCACTTCCCAGCCCAGTCCCTTACTTTCTGATTATACTATTTGTCCATAAACTGACAAATATCAGTTGAGTGTCATGTTGAAAAAGTGCCGTTTGAACTCACTATTAAATCTGAAATAATTTGCTAAATGCGATAGTTAAAATTTGTCAATAAGTGCTCTTGCAAGTTCTCTCCTAACATTAATTTCTTGATGTACCTCTGTACATTGCTGCATATTTCCAGTTTATTTGCCATTATTATGAGAGCAAAGGTGGCAGTGTATAAAGAGACAAGAGACCTCAGTTATTGTATTACAGACAAACAAGAGCATCCCAAGGGCTACTTGATACTGATCTCGCTTTGTGATGCTATTTAAGACCTGATTTTGTATCTAAGAACTATTAGATACTAGGTTGGAAAATCAGTCAACCTTAGCATTTTGCCTTCAGAAAGCCCACTGCAAGCCAAGCTATCCCAGGACTAGACTGAGAAAGCTTCATTCGGCAGGGCTTTGTTATGAACGGAGCTAATGCCAGGAATGTTGCCCTTAACATGCTGCCTACACAGCTTATGCCTCAAGTGGCTCAAGAGGAGTGCGAGAAACACAAACCCTACTTCCATCCCATTTTCCTCTTGGGCTGTTGGCATAGAAAGATACTCACTTCTGGCTGTTTGTAGTTGGAAAGTGAAGAAAATTAGGCCCCTCATGTGGTATTTTCCATGTAAAATATGTAATACAGCATTCTCCATGTTTTCTCCCACCAGCCTGCACCCCAGTGTGCCTGACAAATGATAGCTGCCAGCCTCCTCTCTCCCTAAGCAGTCCTAAATCATCCTGATCTGTCCCAGTTTGCTATATCACACTGAATCCTTCAAACCCTTTCCCTAACCACTAGCCAGAATCACTTCACATAAATTCTGTCCAGTTATGGTATTAGTCTGATTTCTATCACTGTGACAAGATAAATACCTGAGAATATCAAGTTAAAGGGAGACAAGATTAATTTTGGCTAACAGTTTTAGAGGTTTCAGTCCATGGCCCAATCAGTTTGAGCCTGAGACAGGGCCAATATCATGGTGGAGAGCTCATGGTGGAACAAAGCTGCTCACCCCATGGCAGCCAGAGAGAGAAAGGTGCTTGGTCCCAAACACCCCTTAAGGACATGCCCTTCAGTGACCTACTTCCTCCAACTAGGCCCCACCTCCCAACAGCCCATTCAGCTATGACCTCATCGAGGGATTAATCCATTTATGAGGTTAGAGCCCTCATGATCCAGTCACCTCATGGTCCCTACCTCTGTACATTGCTGCATTAGGGATCACAGCTTCAATACATGAGTCTTTGGTGGACACTTCACATCCAAACCATAACAGTTACTGTATTATAATTATATATTTAGACTTGTTAATTATATAATTTATGAAATTTCAAAAAAATCAATATTTAAGCAGAGTGATATTTTCTTTTCTAAGAGGGGAAAACAAAGACATATAGCCTTTAAATGTTTTCAGTTTTCTTCAGTAAGGCTGTCATGTAAATGTGGTTGCTAAGCACCAGTTTCTATCACCCATCTTAATAAGGACAGAATGATTGGGAAGAGATAGCATGTGTGCCTCCAGGCACTGAACTTTAGAGAGCTGCTTTATACATTCCACATAAACTGTTGCTGTAATCACTATGGGCTGCTTTCTCAAGCACTAAATTTGGTGGCTTCCATAATTTCTCTGTCTTAAAATTTTATTGTTGAATTCAGAAAAAATAACTTTGTTTCCTTCCCTAGGGATTTATTTCCTTTGGAATCTTTGGCTTGGACAAACATTTAATCATCCTACCTTTCAAAAGAAGGTAAATTTAGTTTTGAAATAAATCTATATTCTAAAGGTGATAAAAAAGCCATTCTATTAAGATACTGGTATTTTTAGTAACTTTAGTTACTTCTAGGAGACAACTAAATACCACACAAAGGTTATCTGTTATCACATATTTGTGGTAAATAATTGCAGAGAAAATGTTGGAAGAACTTTTGTAAATCCAGCAATGTAATTTGCATCTTAATAAGAACTGGTGGACTCTGACTTCTATCTATGCTGTTAACTACATAAAATTAGATGAAATTTGCAAATGTCTTTAAAACTGAAAGTAGAGGTGGTATGCCCCCAAAGGTCTGTTTTTGATTGCCATTCTCCTTTGACAACAAGATTTCTCTTTCTGTCAAAGTGACAACTTACAGAAAATTCTCTTTCTGTCAAAGTGACAACTTACAGAAAATTCAGTTTTTCTTCCCAAAACTTTAGGGTTTTATTGGTTTCTTTGAATTAAGATCAAGGATTTCTTTATGAAAAAAAACAAATATGAGTACTCCAACTTGGGGTGGGAGAAAGAGGCAGAGGGCAAATTTTTGTACTTCCTCACTTGCTCTCAAAGCCCAAATTAATGGAAACTAGAAATTATAATGGAATTCATCCTACCTGCTCTATAAAAAGAGTCAGTAAGTGACATGTGCCCTTCTTTCTCACTTTTCCTTCTTCACATCATCACCACCATCATCATCTTCACTAAGATGTCATTGCCAGAGGCCATAATCATTTCATGAAAGAAAAGTTTAATAGGAACAAATGGCATTGACCTTAAGTTATCAGTCTCATAGTCAACAGTTCCACTGTCTGGCAGAAACAAAACTGGTCTGTAATCTTGATCTGATATTTGTTTCACTGAAAAATGATTAAATAAAATACTTGCTATCTAAGTTATCTTCTTGTTTGGTTTGGTTTGGTTTTGATTTGATTATTTTGAGACAGGGTCTTACTATGTAGCTCAGTCTAGCTTTGAACTTGTGATCCTCCTGCTTCACCCTCCAAGGTGTTGGAATTATAGGCATGTTCCACCACACCTGGCTTCTAAGTTATCTTTGTGGTTCAAAACAGCAAAATACAGAATAAGAAACATTTCTTGGTAGAAACAGAAATGAGTCAAACACATCTGGAGGTTTTATCAAATGATTAGGACCCCAACCCAGCCTGTTTTGAATAGGAAATCAAATGCAGAACAAGAATATTTCCAGTTCAGAGACAGACAATAGTTTTGGTGACTGTCTGAAACAGCCATTTTGATGAGGCAGGAATGATTCTCTTTCAATGCTTTTCTTTCCTTAATTTTGGTTTTCAGGCTTGAATTCTTATGGAATAATAAAGAAACAGCAGAAAACAGAGATTCTCCTGTTTCTGAAGAAATAAAAATGACATGCCAGCAATTTATCCATTACCACCGTGACCTCTGTATCCAAAACATTGTCAAGGAAAGAAGGTAAGCCAATTACCAGTACAGGTTCCATAGAATTACATTTTAGATGGTTAGTTTTGGATTTTAACAGGCTAGTTGTTATGAGTCAGTTTATAGTTTAAGAAGTAGTGTACAAAAGAGCCACATCATTTTGATTTTAGTTATCTTTTAAATGTCCTATAAGTTCTGATTTCTAGAGAAAATGTGAAAACTGTAAAAGGAGTACAGTGTGGTAGAATATTAACATTTGTTCATAATGGCCATCAGTGTCTCTCACAAAGCTTTGACATGCACTGGATTTAGAAGTGATTTTATATTCTCATTTTCTAGTACTATGCTATTTCATATTACTAATGCTATTGTCAAGAAAATGAAATTGCTGCCTCTTAATTCTGCTGTTTATATTTCACCTCAAGTCCTAGTCTTTAGTCTATAGCATTATATTTTTTCTTCTGCTCTCCAAGGTATGAAATATTTTTGATAGGAAATGATGAACTTTGAATAAATAAGTGTTATAGTACCAGTTTTGATTGTCATGAAAAAGGAAATAAACAAAACATAAAGAACCTAGTACTTTTTATGTGTATTACTGAAAGTTTGAAATTTTATGAAAATTACTACTCGGGATGGTTTATTGCCACTATAGCTACATACACACCATTATAATCAGAGGGCAGCCTGGTATAGATAGTGGAAAGGACATTAATTGGGTGTGGACTAATGTTAGAACTCAACTCCTGAAGTTCTTGGCTGGTGACCCTGGGCAAGTTCAAGTCTTAAAACCTTAGCTTTCTTTTTCTTGAAAATCTTACTCTCAGGGTTGTTTGATTTAGGTGACAAAATGACTGTGATGGGCCTAGCCCAATCTCTGCCAATGGTAAACTATGGAGAAAAGTTAGTTCTCTGCCTTAAAGGGCTGAGCACAATTATTTGCAGACGCTATCTATGGTTAGTTCCAGCAATTAAAAATGCTTTTTAAAACTTTAAAAAGAAAACTCCAGGTTAGCCTGTGGTGCTAGCCAACTATCAGGAAGCATAGCCCTTGCCATTTGCAGGGCTGCCAGGCTGTCTTGGTCCCAGATGGTGAATGGACACCAGCTGGTAGTGTCCTGGCTTATTCCCTGCCCCTTTCCAGACTCTACAGCCTGCACAGCACCACATTATCTGTCACTCTGTGTGGCTTAATGGGCTTTTGTTACAGCTGCCTGGCCAGAGTCATCAAGAAACAAAAATTATTCTGTTGGTGTCTGGGACAGAGGCATTAGGCTATAAATCAAAAGTCAACAAATGGAAAGAAGGCTGAGACACAGGTTGTAATACTGTAATTTACGCACTTGAATATTGACTTGTTCTGGTTCTTATATGAAGCTCTAATGTATATTTTATTTATGGTAAAATATTTCAAAATTTTTGTCACCTGTTTCTCATTTCATCCCATTTTTCATCCACCATTTCCTATTGTCAAGCACTTTAGGTTTTACAGCTTGACTGATGGCTGGTGGGCAGATTCTTGTTGTCTGTCATACATCTATATAAAAATGTACAGAATTCATGTAACTGGATTAACTTCTTTTTTGCATTTCTCTTTGCCTTCTTTATTTGCTCATACTTAAGACACTCCACATTTGCATTAGGAAGATGAGTTTTAAATAATCAAAAAGATTCATAACTGAAGATTCAATTTAAAATCTTAGATTTGCAGCAAGGCAGACCTCTTTTATTCCTTCCTTGTTCTCTAATGAAGAAAACTCCTAGTAACCACATCAGTATGATGGTGTTGACTACCAAGGGCAAGAACAAAGACCAGTTGTGGGTACTATAAACTGAAAAAATTTGAGTAATTTAGTAAAAATAGTTTTTGTTTTTTTCATTTTGTTTTGTTTTTGAGACAAGGTCTCACTAAGACCCAGGTTGGCCTTGTAAACTTAAAATCCTGTTTCCTCAGCCTCCCTAGTACTGGGATTACAGAAATGTGCTGCCACACCAACTAAAACAGTCATTTCTTAAGAGCTTGTGAGAAATATTTAATGTTCTTGAAATAAATTGCTTAGTATAACTAAGAGGAAAATAATTTATAAAGCATAAAATATTCAGCTGTCTATAAAGCAGATATGATCATAAAAGGCACCTGTGCTTCAATAAAAAACATTTCTCTAACAATACATTTACATTTTCTATGTCTTTTTGTTGTTGTTTGAGAGTTTCTGTTTTTCACAAGCTTTAATGGCATACTCTGTTTTTCTCCAGTGGGTCTTTCTAGGGTCAGGAAAGTGAACAATTCTTTTATAGTCAGAGCAGTTTCATTCCTGCCATGCTCTTAACCATCGTGCTGTCTTTCCTTGTTTCTGTTTTTCTTTGCTTGTCCTCTGTCATGCAGAGCTGATACCAGATTTACAGAACATATGGGTGAATCATTCCTTTGACATACAGGTGTGGTGCAAAGACTTCTGCTGGCACCTTCTGTGGCTGTGACCTGGTGAATTGGCTAATTGAAATCGGCCTTGCCTCTGACCGTGGTGAAGCTGTGATATATGGAGACAGGCTGGTGCAAGGGGGAGTCATCCAACATATTACCAACGAATATGAATTTCGGGATGAGTATTTGTTTTACAGATTTCTTCAAAAGAATCCGGAACAGAGTCCTCCTGCTATTAATGCAAGCAACCCCCAACAGGAAAGCTATAAAGAAATTGAGCATTCATCCCCACCCCCTTTTTCCTCTAATACCTAAATTATGAAGGAAAGAGCCCTTCATAGAATCATACTCTAGACCTACATCTATTAGTTTTTAGCTGTGTGACCTCTGGCAAGTTAGCCTCTCTGAGCCTCAAATTGTCTCTTCTGTAAAACTTGACAAGACACATTCCTACTCCATACTGACACTGCGTGATTTTATGTGTATGTAAAACACATAAGAAACTGACTTAAGAAAAAGAGAAAGCCAAATTAAAGTTCTGATAATGAATACAAAAATTACTATAAATAATGCTAATATGCCAACATTTTAAAATCATTTCTTCCTGCATCCATCTGCTATAATTTCAAAATCAATATCCAACTGACTATTTCCTTTAAATTATCAAATTTGGTAGCTTTACTGCTAGCAAAATGCACCTTAAATTATGACTTTATATTTATTACTAGCACTTCCTAAAAAAATTTAATAATTCTAATTAAAGGTTCTTGTTCTTTTAATTTTTTCCATTTCTTTGACAAATAATATACAAACTAAAGAGAATATGTATGTGTATATACAAATATACATGTATATATATATATTTTTTTTTTGGTGGTACTGAGGTTTGAACTCAGAGCTTTGTGCTTGCTAAGCAGGTGGTCTACATTGAACCACACCCCCATCCCCTTTTGCTTTGGGTATTTTTGAGATTGGGTATGGCTTTATGCCCAGGTTGGCCTGGACTGTGATCCTCTTATTTATGCCTCCCATGTAGCTGGGATGACAGAGGTGTGCCACCATGCTAAGCTTTTTTTGTTGGTTGAGATGGGGTCTCAGGAACTTTCTGCCTGGGCTGGCCTTAAACCCCGATTCTCCCTATCTCTGTCTACTAAATAGGTAAGATTATGGCTTGAGTCACTGTGCCTTGCTGACACTATTTTTTTAAGGTTTGCACTTTATTAGTACTTTTGTCTGAAGTGCTAATCTATTCCACTAGGAAGGAAATAAGATGGATGTGACATCTATCTCCCCATTGATCACTAGGGTCGATTCAGCAATCTGGCTAGCTAGGCAGGTGTGCACTTCCTCCCTCACTACACCTTGTGCACACTCCTGAAGCTGCACACTCAGTCAAAGAGTACACTGTGCCCCAATAGAGGAGGTCCATCCTCAGTCAAGAGTATACAAATAGCTGTGCTTTCCTGCTAGAACTTCCAAACGCGGTCTCCAGGAAGGGAATAAGAACTTCATAAATATTATCATAACCACAGCCCTTCAACAGAAGTATAATCTGATCTTTAACTTTTGTACTATGAATAATTCGAGAATATTCATCTCAGTGTAATTAAAATTATTGTCATGTGTGTGATATATTATCTCTGATATTTGCACAAGCATCATAAAGCAGGATAACCCTAGTACTTGGTTCTCTGCAGTGAAAAAAAAGGCTATTTCAAGCCAAAATTTAAAAATTCTAAATCTAGCATCCTACCACTACCTTTAGAATTCAGTTTTTTTAAAGTGTCCATGTATAAAAAGTCTGTAAATTTAAAAATCACTAAATGTTGCTCCTTTGTCTTAGTCTGTTAAAACAGACTAAGTTAGTTTAGTTTGCTAAAACAAAGTGACATAAACTGGGTAACTCATAAACAACAGAAAATTATTTCTCGCAGGTCTCAGGGCTGGTTGTTACAAAAAAGCATCAGCAGATTCAGCGTTTGGTGAGGGCCTGATTCTAGTTCACAGGTGGTATCTCACCTGGTGGATGTGCAGTAATCCCATTCCTGAAGGCTCCTCTCTCATGACCTAACTGCCTCTGAGTACCATCACATTGGGGATTAGGTTTCAACATATGAATTTGGGGGAGACACAAACATTCAGATCATAACCCTCAGATAAGCTTTATCTTCAGAAAAGTAAAAAGAGATTCAAGTGAGGCGCCAGTGGCTCACACCTGCATTCCTAGCTACTCAGGAGGCAGAAATCAGAAGGATCACAGTTTGAAGCCAGCCCAGGCAAATAGTCTGCAAGACCCTATCTCAAAAAAACCCTTCACAAAAAAGGGCTGGTGAAGTGGATCAAGGTGTAGGCCCTGAGTTTGAGCCCCAGTGCTGCAAAAAAAAAAAATTCATTTACCTGACCTTTGAACATTGACTTGATTGTAGAAATCAGTGCTGATTTAACTTATTTAAAACACGTTCAAATATTTATCTACATTTTTAGTGTTTCATATATAAAGACCATTTCGAAAATTATAGGGTTAATACCATTGCCCTTTAAAAAAAAAAACAAACTGCATGGAAGCCTAGTGTATTTAACAAGTAAATTTATTGTACTATTAGCCTAAACCAATTTTATGTTATGATTAGGGAGTGGGGATTTTTAAAGCAGAACTGTCTTGCTGTGGAACTTTAAAAAAAAAAATTTGATATGACCACATTAGGGCTCTAAATGTTCAGGAGTAACAAAGTCTCATGGCTTTCATAGTTGCAATGAAGCGATACCACTCACATGCATGCAGGCAACCTAAACTCAAGTGAAGAATTTGTTTGTGAACCAATCATGCTACGTATGTTCTGTTATTTGCACAAATGGAATCTGCAACATCATTTTCCATGGGAGACACGGAAAACCTGGATTAGAATAATCTGCAGTTTCAGATAATAAAGGCTTTGAAGAGATGTTTTTAGTATTAAGGACATGCTGATTTTATTGAATGAAATGTTTGTTACTTTCTCACTGACAAAGCACGTTTCTCAATAAAATACCTATTTTAACTTGCATTGCTGACATCTTTGAGTAATCTGTGATAGCAGGAGCCATCACAAAGGTCTTTTTTTTAATAAGTTTTTAGTGTTTTCTTGAGTTCCTGAGATTGTCCTATTCTTCATGACCCTTTAGAAGAATTCTAAAGGGCCTTAACTGTATTCAGTAAACACCTTTAATGAACAAGTCAATATAAGAGTCCTTTACATACATTTATGATTTTTTTAATATGTGGTCATAGCTGGTAAAATAATCTGATACAATTTTGATTAAAAACTACATCTTTTTTTTTTTCCCCTGTAGCACTGAAGTTTGAATTCAGAGCCTCACACTTGCAGGCGCTCTACCGCATGAGCCACTCTGCCAGCCTTTTTTTGTGTTGGGTATTTTTGAAATAGGGTCTCACTTTTGTTGGCTGGGCTGGCCTCAAACTGCAGTCCTCCTAGTCTCTACCTCTCAAGTAGGTAGGATTTTAGTCATGAGCCACTGGCACTCAGCAAAACCTACACCTTTCATATTAATCATCAGTAGTTAACTGTTTGCCTAACTTGTGCTTAGCTCTCAGTATTTTTAGAATAAGATATATTTGGTATTTCAAGAGTAATTAATGATCAGTAAATTTCAAAAAGTTATGATGCAGAATACAGCTCTTAGTTTTTTTCCCTCTTGTATCTTATACTATACAAACTACTACCTTAGACATCTGGGCATAAGTAGTCATGTGACAAGTAGTAGTTGGACACACAGCTCAGGATCATAAATGGTATCACCATTCTCTTTCCCCCTATTTATTTTATTTGCAGTGATTGAGGGATCAAACCCAGGGCCTTGTGCATGCCAGGTAAACACTATATCCACTGAGCTACATCACTATCCCCTTAAGTCCTTTATTGTAAATGGAAGGTTCTTTCCTAGCCAGGCTCCCAGTGGGTTATTTTCCTTAGGTAATGCCCTGAGTTCTACTTTTGAACTTTCCCTTTGGATGCTTTAAGACTGTCAGAATACTGGTTCTTCCCCAAATAGCTTCAGACTGTTTATTGTTTTTTTCTTTATACCAAGTGGCATGCAGAAGTGGACGATTAATTGGATATGACTCCGGTGAAGTTCAGGTAACTCTGGCTGAGTAATCACTTTATGTCCCTTTTGTGTGATCTCCTTTTTTTATGGATTCTTCCTTTTGCAAGTTTTCTGTGGGTAGAAAACGGACTTTCTTTTCTTTCAATTGCATTTTTAATTTTTGTCAATACTTGTCTTATCCTAGAGAGATACCTTCCCATCACACCAATAAGCAACTTATTGGTTTAAGCTTATAAGCTTTGCTAGGTGGTTGGCTTTTGTGTTTGACTGAAGATTTGCTCCAAAGAAAGTAGATACCTTTTGAAAACATATACTGAAATATAAGTGGACAACAGACTCTGATGAAGTGTAAATGAATAACAGACTATGATGGCTGAGATCAGTTTTTGCCTCCAAACTGGGTCCTTCCTCCTTCTTGGAAATTGTGGAACCAGTAACAAGAACAGGAGAAATGGGAAGATAAACGCATAAATCAACTTCTTTGTTATCACCTTTCTTCAGCAATCATGGACTTTAAATTTCTGTAATTGGTTGATAAAAATATGAAGTAACTAAAAGAGAATACATTCTATATGTCCACCTGTTTGGGGCAAATTTTACAAAAAGAAACTAACTTTCTAAAATTCTAGGCTGCATAATTATTCATAGGGCAAAATTTTTATTGATGATTAATATATGAACTGATACTTTCATCAAAAATCAAACAAACTACTCAGTTTATTATCTTATTCCTTTGGCTTATTAAGTAATGGTAAATATAACACTATTTAAGTGTTAACTCTAAAAAAAGATTAGCTCAGGTACTATATTTTTTTACTCTTATGAGATGAAGTTTAAGAAAACCTTACATTTTCTAAAATACATTAGTTACCCACACAAGTACCCACAGCCCAAATACCATGTTGGAATTTATACGTGAAAATCTCTCAAGCTGCTTTATAAATTAATTCATATATCTTTACAATAATCCTTGCTTTTACCACAGGAGTTACTCCCATTTTTAATAGGGAAAAGAGGAGACAGGTTGACTTGAGACTTTATCAAAGACTAGTAAGTTGTACAGATAGACTGTCTAGCTAATTTTCTCAACCTTACATTTCTATAGACAGAGAAGAGGGTTGTGTAGATTATTTTTATCAGTACTTGGATATTCATTTAACAGATGTTTATTGTGCCAGATACCATACTGACCACTAGGCACAAAACAATAAGAACAAATATGACTATTACCCTCATAGAGACTATTCTACTGTGAAACACAGATGTTAAATGTGCAATTAATTTGGAATCAGGATAACATTAGCTCCAAGAGTATATACAAGAGACCTGACCTGGTTGTATGTGGAAAACTTTTCTTGGCAAAATTCTAAAGTATGAAAAGAACTACGTACATAAAGGGAAGCACATGGGATAAGTGGTGCAAGCCAGTACATTCAAGGTACATTGAAGGACTTGAAAGAGCAGCATAGTTGAAACTTAAAACCAATGGTAAAAGTATAATATGATCTATACAGGGGGCGGACAGAGCAGCATGATATCTCATTGGTATTTATTAAAGATTGAGACATTAACCTAAGAACAAGTCTTTAAAAGCATTTCAGAATCTCAACACATGGAGAGATGATTAAAAGAAAAGAAAAAGCATTTTAGTCAATAAGAAAATGAACACCTGATTAAAAACTGGGCAAAAGATCTGAACAGATACCTCATCAAAGAAGATATTAAGATAGCAAATAAGCATATGAAGATACTCAATGTCACATGTTGTTAGAAATTACAAATTAAAATGAAAACAACCACAGGTCTATTAAAATGGCCAAAGTCCAAAACACTGGCAGCAACAAGTGCTGACAAGGATGTGGAGCAACACTGCTACGAATACAAAATGGTAGCCACTCTGGAGAGTTCAGCAGGTTATTATAAAACTAAACATACATTTACCATATGATTCAGCAATTATTATTTTTACCCAAAGTGAGTTGAAAATTTACATCCACACAGGAACACGTACAATGATGTTTATAGGTTTATTCATCATTGCCAAAACTTGGAAAAAACTAATGTCCTTTAGTAGTGCTGCATCAACAAGGGATACTCATCAGTGCTAAAAAGAAATGAGCTATCAAGCCAGGAAAAAACACAGAAGAACCTTCAATGCATATTACTAGTAAGTTAAACCAATCTGAAAAGGCTACATCCTGTATGATTCTAACCACAGAACATTCTGGAAAAAGCTAAATTATGAAGACAAAAGATCAGTGGTTTCCAAGACAGCAAGAGGGAGGCTAGATGATACAGCTACAAATTCACTGGCCAGCCAACTATTGACAAAGAGCATATTTGAATTTAATAAAAGTATATTTGCAAAATACAGTTAGTGTCATTACAAAGAATGTGAAAAATCTAAAAATTGTTCTTGTTCATTTTTGCTGAAAGCACAAGAACACAATTTGAGATATTTTCCATTACTAAAAAAAAAAGAAATCTGACTTCTTAATAAAATTGAAAAAAATGGCTTGAGGGCACTACAGAATTCTAATAACACAATTATAATTAACATGAATCATGTTAATGCTTCGTGTTATGTACAGAATTGAATATTAATTATTGACAGTTATTGTGACTAAAAGAAATAGCATAACTCTATGTGTTCTAGTCCAATGTTTTGTTTCTCAGTATCTTTTTTTTAATTATCCATTTATTCACATGTGCATACATTGTTTGGGTCATTTCTCCCCCTGCCCCCTGCCTCCATTCTCTCCCTCTTCCCTGTTTCTCAGTGTCTTAGAAAACTAATTTTAATAGTCTAGATATCACCTGAATGCTATTAAGGAATAATCAGATTTGCTCAAAGTAGGTTTATGTTGTTTAGCAAGGCGATCTATGAGGAAGATTTCCAACCATGCATGTTATCACTAAGAACTAATATTCGACTTATAAATGCTAATTTCATCTTTTGCACACTGAGGAAAAAGATTAACAATTTTATCCACATCAAGATGCTTGTTTAGGAGGACTGATTCCATCTCTTTGAATAGTTCCTTCTCCAGCTTCTTCATGTTGTCCAACATTGTTTTGGCTTTTTCCTAAACAATTAAAATAATAAAAGTAAATGCGTACACACATACGAACTAACTAAATTCCAACCCACCTCTGTAGGGAAGGTTTGTTCATTTTCGTTTCTACTTCCAGTTTAGTTACCCCTTCTATTCTGTAGGTACAGAAGGAATTAAATTCTTTGGAAAAAGTCATTTTTCTAGAATGAGTTTTAATGTATTAATAACAAAATATTATTTATTTTTAGTAGCAAATATAAGAACAATTATATATGACTAATAAGAGAAGTTAAAACAAACAGGACAAATGAAAATCTGATACTAATTGTGTGTGAGGAAGTTTATTGAAAATTGAGACAGATATTTTTGTGAATTTAGATCTTCTATATTTAAAACCAGTTTTAGGGTGGGATGCTTCATGCCTAGCAAACATGAAGCACTGAGTTCAAACCCCAGTATTGCCAAAAATAATTTTTTAAAAAACTGTCAGACTGAAGAAACAGAACATTAATGTGTAAGAGAAAAAGGAGCTAAAAAGAAATTTTCTTTCTCACCCCCATTTCAAGAAAGGGAAAATAAGGTCCACAACTTTACAGAAAGTAATTTTTGTGCAAGTGTGGTGTTAGGGCTGAACCCCAGAGCCTTGTTTGTGCCTCTGAGTCTAACAACCAGTCCAGAAAGAAGCAGTTTTAAATTGCTGACAATTATCATTGTCACTTAAGAGTCAAAAAAAAGAATATTGCATATAAGAAAAAAGTTACTAGAAAGTAAGCATAACTTAAAAAATTTAATCAATATGGAGCAGAATGCCAGAAAACAGATTCTTAACATGAATATCAATATGAAATTGTATATAATTATTTTCTTGAGGAAGCACTGTATTTCCTATCAGTGGGGAAAAATGAATTTTGTCTATAAACAGTATTGGACTAATTGGTTACCGTTTTGAAAAACAAGCTTAGAATCTCCACTTTATGAAATACCTAAAACAAATTCCAGATGGATTAGAGAACTAAATATTTTCTTTAAAAAAGACATATATACTGGAAGAAAATATAGAGGTTAAGTTTATTTTGAAGAGACGCAGGCCTCTTGAAGCATGAAATCAAGATGCCTTAAAGAAAAGATGAAAAAAAAAAAGCAAAAGACAAATGTAATTTACTAAATTTAAATTTTTTCCTCTGACAAAAAGTTAAATGCCAACCAATAAACTGAGATTTTAAAAACTACAATATAAGCGAGGTGTGGTGGCATGCACCTATGGTCCCAGCTACTTGGGAAGCTGAGGCAGGAGAATCACCTGAGTCCATGAGTTTGAGACCAGTCTGGGCAAAACAGCAAGACCCCTTCTCAAAAAAAAAAATACAACAGAATTAATATTCAGATGTTTTTGCCTCTTTGAAGCAGAACAAGCAGAAAGAATGACCCAGAATCAACTGAGAAACAAGCTAAGGAAAAACTGGCAAAGTCATTTAAAAGGAAATATGACCAATAAACATAGAAGAGTTTCAATCTAGGGCTGGCAGAGTGGTTCAAGCGGTAAGAGCACCTGCCTTGCAAACATAAGGTCCAGAGTTCAAACCCCAGTGCCGCCAAAAAAATAAAAAGATTTTCAATCTCACTAGTAATCAAAAATTGCACATTAAAACTAGCAGCGGAGCAGAGCATGGGTGCCTCAGCCTATAAGCCTAACTACTTGGGAGGCTGAGATCGGGAGCATAATGACTGAAGACACTAGTCTGGGTAAAAAGCTGGCAAAATCCCATCTCAACCAATAGCTGGGCTCGGTGGAACATGTCTGTCATCCCAGACATGGGAAGAATAATATAGGTTGTGGTCCAGGACAGCCTGGGCAAAAAGTAAGACTGTATCTCAGAAATAACCAGAGTAAAAAGGGCTGGAATCATGGCTCAGGTGATGGTCGTGTCCCTGCCTACTAACTCAGTGTAAGGTCCTGAGTTGGAACCCCAATAACACACACACACACACACACAGAAAGCTAATAGGATTGACTCCCTAAATACAAAGTTATAGAGCTAGCACTAGAACCCAGTACACTTCCTTCAAATTCTATCATCTTTCCACTACTTTATATTGTCAACCAACAATGCTAATTAATTAAGGTCTAACATAGTAATAGCTTTTAATTCTTTTTTCAATATTTGCAAAAAAAGTCAATCAGCAATTTTTTTTTTTGGTGCTGAGGCTTGAACTCAGGGCCTTCACCTGAGCCACTCCACCAGCCCTGGTTTTCTGAAGGGTTTTTTGAGATAGGGTCTTGCAAAATACTTGCCTGGGTTGGCTTCGAACTGCGATCCTCCTGATCTCTGCCTCCTGAATAGCTAGGATTGCAGGTGTGAGCCATTGGCATCCGGCTCAATCAGCAATTTAACAAGTATTTAGTACTAAGTTATAAAATCCACCTCCCAGAAGAAAAATTAAACAATAAAATTCTCCTCCCAGAAGCAGTTTTATGAGAAAAAAAGCTGAAATTTGTTGAAAGCTATCGTGATCAATGAGGGCTCCCCTGAGGCTGGTCAAGAAGGAGTAAAGGACCAGAGTAGAAGCTCTGTAACATATCACGAAGGGACCGTCACAAAGGCACAAAGAACCAAAGGGCTAATCATTGTTTACTGCACTGTTCTGCATTGAGAATATTAGGCAAGCCCATGGAAATGGAAGATACCTCTGGCTCCGTGGATTGGACCATAGTCAGCATACTAAAGTGGGCTCCTAGTTCTTGCCTTCACTTTATGCCACCAAGTTGCAAGACAGTGTTTAGACTGCAGATCTGAAGTGAAAACAAACTGGTCCCAAATAGAGTAGGAGCAGCAAGAATTTTTGGCAAATCACAAGTCTGATAGAGCTCTTTTGGTAGAATGCCTGCCTAGCAAATACCAGACCCTTGAGTTCAAATTCCAGTACGTAAAAATAATAACAATAGTAATTACTTGGAGGAAAATTAATTCACTTAAATGTAGACAGAATGTAAATGTATATACTCTGACAAAGTAAAAGAATTATAGGCAAGAATAATAAGCAGGTGGTAGAAATAGGTGAGAAAAGACATAAGATGGATAATCTTTTCTTCATTGTGGGAGTCTTTAGACCTTCCATTTCCTTTTTTTTTTTTTTTTTCAAGTGTTTTTTTTTTTTCTTTTTACTTTTATTTTTATTTTTTTTTTATTTTTTTTTTAATTATTCATATGTGCATACAAGGCTTGGTTTATTTCTCCCCCCTGCCCCCACCCCCTCCCTTACCACCCACTCCCCCCCCTCCCGCTCCCCCCCTCAATACCCAGCAGAAACTATTTTGCCCTTATCTCTAATTTTGTTGTAGAGAGAGTATAAGCAATAATAGGAAGGAACAAGGGGTTTTGCTGGTTGAGATAAGGATAGCTATACAGGGCATTGACTCACATTGATTTCCTGTGTGTGGGTGTTACCTTCTAGGTTAATTCTTTTTAATCTAACCTTTTCTCTAGTTCCTGGTCCCCTTTTCCTATTGGCCTCAGTTGCTTTAAGGTATCTGCTTTAGTTTCTCTGCATTAAGGGCAACAAATGCTAGCTAGTTTTTTAGGTGTCTTACCTATCCTCACCCCTCCCTTGTGTGCTCTCGCTTTTATCATGTGCTCATAGTCCAATCCCCTTGTTGTGTTTGCCCTTGATCTAATGTCCACATATGAGGGAGAACATACGATATTTATTCTTTTCTCTGGGCTGGAAGGGAAGGGATAAGGAGGACTGAAGAGGCATGGTATATTATAGAACTGTCTTTCAATCTATACTAGAAAATAAATACATCTGCTTTTTTCTTGAGCTGAGATTTCAAGTGATATACTGCTTTTCCATAATGCTTACAGTTTTAAAGTAATGAACATGTCATTTTTGTAAAACTACAATTCATCTTTATTGTTTTAAGTCTATGGGGTCTTGACATAAAGGAAATGCAAATCAAAGCTACACTGATGGTACAGCGCCTGCCTAAGCAAGCAGAAATCCCTGAGTCCAAACCCAGTACTGCAAAAAATAAAAATAAAACAAACAACAAAAACTACTGAGATTCTACCTTACCTCAGTCAGAATGGCAATCACCAAGAAAACAAACAACAATAAGTGAAGAAAAAAAGTCTATGGGGCCTTAAATCCCTTTCAATTAATTTTAGTTGGAGTTGTAGGATTAAGAACATTATGTAAAAGATCAGATTAGCTGCCCTTCTGAGACTTTGTAATTTTTGGTATGATATATACTAAGCAAACTACTTAACCACTCCTAGTCTCAGATTCCTTTTCAGTAAAATGGGGATAATAATAGTACCGACCTCATAAAGTAGTTGTGAACATTAAATAAATAATTCATATGAAATAGTATATAAGTGCTAAATAAGTACTATTTTTTAATATACTAAGTTTCTCTAGGAGTTACAACATCTATATTCTTAGCCAAAGGTAAAAAAAAATACAGCTCTACTATAGTTTGAGCATCTAAACCTATTTTTTTTACATGAAGGAAGGAAAGCTAACAGTCCATTATTCAAACTATGGATTGAATCTCACTTTAAACTATTAATGATACAACAAAGAATATAATCTAATCATACCTCATTATTATCCATGATTTCCAATGCCTGTTGATGTTCTTGGTAGAGTGGGTGTCTTCTATCAGGCTTAATCTTAAATTGTGGCCTCTTTTTAACTGGATCTTCAAGTTCAAATGTTGGTGAACTGGTATATAATAGTTGTGAAATATGTGGCACAAATATGAAAGGCTTAAAAACAGATCTAGAAGAAACAGTCTTTATTAAATTGGTATGTCAAAATCCATTTAAAAATCAGCATTATTCTTCTTCCAAGATTCCCTCTAGTTAGAATGTCTATTAATGAGGCTACACACTAAGCTGTTCCTGCCATGAATTGTGCTCATGCCCATCGCCCATGTACACTTGGCTCTTGTTTAGGGCAGGAGATAATGCAGTATTTAGCTTTATATTCTCATAGACCTAACAGAGAGCCTGGCACATAAACAGTGCCAGTGAACTAAGAGTTTGCCTTTTCCTAGAGTAAAAACAACCTTCAGTGTTATGGATTGAAGATTATAACTTGGAGTGAAAATCAGCACCACTGTTTGTTTGTGTGTTGTTGCTGCTTTGTTTGGTTTTTGGGTTGTTTTTATTTGTGGTATTGGGAACAGAACCCAGGGGCCTCCCGCTTACTAGGCAGGTGCTCTACCACTTGAACCATGCCCCCCAGTCCTTTTGTTCTTATTTTATTTTTGAGATAGGGTCTCACTAACTTTGTCAGGGCTGGCCCAGAGCCCATGATCCTCATGCCTTGGCCTCCCAAGAGCTGGAAATACAAAGCATGTACCAGCATGCCTGGCTAGCACCACTGTTACGAAGGGGACTACTTCACTGTATCTTTTTGAAAGTATTTTTAAGGGATAGTGAATATAAAATCATTTCTACATATAATGTGCATTAAGTTTTGTAAGAGATACTAATGACTTAAATCAAGATAGCTATAAAAGTCCTAAAGATGTAACTTGAACTATTGATATGTTGTTTTACATATGTAATTTTCTAGACATGAGTACATAAGTAAATGTAACATAATATCATTTAACCTGTTTATTATAATTAATCATCTAATATTGTAAGATCTGAAATCTGAGTAAGAATCTATTTTCTTTTCTTGACAATATCAAATATATTTGTGGGAAAGATGAGTAAGGATAATTGCATACAAGAACCTATAAAGCTTTTTTTCCCAAAAAAATTGAGAATGGTTATACAAATAAGGAAATTGCAAACTAAAATCTGAATGGGAAATACATAAAAAAATTATTATCTTATCTGTGTAATAAAAATTTGTCCTGACAAAGTCATCTACATACTAATGATTCTACCACATGTCACCACCCTTTCCTTGTTTACAGTATTTTGAGACTTCACCTTTCAGGATCAGGAGTCCCTGTAAAGAAGTGAATGCAAGGAAGGCTGGAATCTTGAGGTAAAATAGAAACCATGCTTGCAGTGGTCAGGAATTCTCCTTCCATATTAATGCCACTTGGTTTATCTCTCAGAATTTCCATCATTGTTTCAAAAGTTATGTTTCCTAGGAAAAGAATTTAATATAATCAAATTAGCATGTATAGTCATGCTAATACAAACTTGTTTCTCTACTAGTACAATTTAATGAGAGGTATTGGTTTTGGCATAAGTTAAAGAGATTGGCCATAAACAACTTTGTACTAACTGCAACTAAACTCATGCCACTGTCAAAAGAAAGATATTTTTGTTTAAACAATAGGCAAAGTCTCAAAACCACTCTAATTAGTAAAAATCTTCCTAAGAAGGAATCACCAGTGCAAAAATACACTCAATCCTATTGTCCATAAAGAATTTTTAAAGACATATTCAGTCAGCAATGAACTGATGATAAAATATATTAAGAGAATATTGCCAACCAGATGCCAGTGGCTCACGCCTGTAATCCTAGCTACTTGGGAGGCTGAGATCGGGAGGATCTCACTTCCAAGGCGATCCCAGGTAAATAGTTTGTAAGACCCCCATCTCCAAAATAACCAGAGCACAATGGACTAGAGGTGGGGCTCAAGTAGTAGAGTACCTGCTTTGCAAGCACAAAGCCCTGAGTTCAAACCCAGTCTCACCAAAAAAAACCAAAAAAAGAATATTGTACTTTGTTTCCAATATTATACAAGACATTCTTTTATAAAATAACAACTTATTTTTCCTATAATAATTTCTGTGCTTCACATTAATAACTTTTGTGAATTGGAACATGTGAAGGAATGAAAAAGACAAAACATTATTGGTTAATGGAATTTGGCTGAGCACAATTCTGCTGGATTACTTTGAAAGCTTAAGCATCTGTTGTATGTGATGAAATACTATGTGTGCTTATATTCTGTTTTATGTTTTTTATAATTAAAGTTTACTATTTTAAATAATTTTTAGGAAAATACAAAAAATCTATTTTATGAACTTCTGAATTTAGTATTTGGAAAGCATAACCAAAAATTTAAAAACCTAAAAAATTAGTTAGCATTTGTTGCCCTTAACGCAGAGAAACTAAAGCAGATACCTTAAAAGCAACTGAGGCCAATAGGAAAAGGGGACCAGGAACTAGAGAGAAGGTGAGATCAAAAAGAATTAACCTACAAGGTAACACACACACACAGGAAATCAATGTGAGTCAATGCCCTGTATAGCTATCCTTATCTCAACCAGCAAAAACCCTTGTTCCTTCCTATTATGGCTTATACTCTCTCTACAACAAAATTAGAAATAAGGGCAAAATAGTTTCTGCTGGGTATTGAGGGGGTGGGGGGAAGAGGGAGGGGGCGGAGTGGGTGGTAAGGGAGGGGGTGGGGGCAGGGGGGAGAAATGACCCAAGCCTTGTATGCACATATGAATAATAAAAAAATTAAAAATTAACATTTTCAATATGTCATAAAAAAAATTTTTTTAAAGCTATTGATATCTTCATCTAGCTCCACTCCAATCCTTTCTATACACATCCACAGCCAAAGACGTGGCTCAGAATGACCTCATGACAAAAAAAATAATACCCTTACCTTACCCAATAAGAGTAACCTGGTTTTCTTCTCACATATCATTTTCTTCTGCAAAGTTTATCACTCCCAACTCTTCCTGAATCGAATTAAAACTCCCTCAAATTAAAGCTCAACTGAAACATGACCTTTCCCCTTCCATCATGAGCATCTTGATCCTTTGTCTATATTGGTCCTAGCTCTGTCATTAGATTATAAATTTTCTAAAAACAAGGATGGGATTTTTCTTGGTTTCTCATTCATTCAAATATTTATGTGTTATCTAATTAAATGACAGGTACTTTCCCAGATATTGGAGATATGCCTAGATATATAGATATAGACATATGATATGAACAAGTGAAAGTCCCCTAATCCAATTTCAACTGTAGTAACCACAGTTAGCAATTCATTGAAAATCTTTTATGAGAAGCTTCAAAATAGATTTTAAAGTTTTCTTTTGAATGAATACAAGAAATTCTCATTATCAAAAGAAAATTGGTACCAGAAAAGAGCTACTTGAAGTAACACATTTAAAATGAGAATCAAAAGCCAATCATGATAGCACATGTCTGTAATAGCACTCAAGGGAGGCTAAGGCAAGAGGATCATGAGTTTGAGGCCAGCCTCAAACTCTACACAGTGAGAAATTGTCTCAAAAAAAAAGGCTGGGCACAGTGTTACAAGTCTATAATCCTAGCTACTTAGAAGGTGGAAATCAGGAGGATCACACTTTAAGGACAGCCAAGGCAAAAAGTTCACAAGACCCCATCTCAACCAATGGCTGGGCACAGTGCCTCACACCTGTTATCTAAGCTGCAAGGGAAAGCACAAATAGAAGAACCCCCCCCTCCCGCAGATCCCATGATAATATGGGGATTAAAAAAATAACAGCAAATATAAGTCTGTATCCAATTTTTTAAAAATGACTCTCATATAAAATGTCCTAGTGTTCTTCCATCAGTTAATCATGTAAGGTACCAACTATTTTATGTATTAATGGCAATAGACTTATACAAGTTTATATTCTCTTATTTAGTTTCTTCATAATATATCAATAACTTCAAATTCAGGAAAAATAACTTACTGAATTTTTAGATAACTTTTTTCAGGAGACATATCTTTCTGTTAATTTTGAAAAACCACTGGAAGAAAAAACAGCCCTTAATATATAAACTCAACAATAAAGCAAAAAGCCTACTATCCACACCTACCTATCAGGCACATATCTTCAACACCTAGTGAGATTTAAAAATGATTCAAGTCTAAACTCCTGTAAATGGTGAGTTTTAATAAAAACAGTGTCAGAACCATAACACTGTGATAATACAGGTATTATAAAAATGTTTTCGGTATTCAAAACCTACAATTCTTAAAATGAAAGGAGGATTTACATGATCACTTGAGTAGGATAGCTATAAGTAATCCACTAGCAAGCATTGAATAAGTACTGAGACTGCAGTGGCAGGGTTCAGTAAAATGAATGCAAAACACAGGGTGCAATTTCATAGCAATTTAAACTAGTTATTTAAAATACATGAGTGAATAGAGATACAATTTGGATATACATGCAGCACAGTTAATAGCTATCAGGTAGGGATAGTTAGAAAGTAGAGAGGAAGGCTCTTCTATCTAGAAAAATCATAGGAAAAAATTAACCATAATGTACTAGTAGACAATTTTCTATGAAAGTATTGGAAAGACATTTATTCTTTTTGGCAAAGCACAGAAAGCTGGCTGAAATGTTCTTTACATATGGAAAAAATAAGCTTGCTAGATGCATCCACTACTAGACTCCTGTATGCATTTCAAATGTGTGATTCAGTTAGTTTGCAGTTAAATGTGACAGAATTAATTATTTCAATGTAGTGGCTAATTAATTTATAATTAATTCTATTTGTTTTTCTTCCTTTTGCCCAAGTACCCCAAACCTTAGGATTCTTGACATTCATTTTCCTTTTCATCTTAACTATGTATTATTGGTCATTTTTAAAATTTTTTGGCAGTATTGAAGTTTGAACTCAGAGCCTCACACTTGTTAGACAAGAGCTCTACCAACTGAGACATGCTGCCCAGCCTTTCTTGCTTTAGTTATTTTTTAGATAGAGTCTTCTGCTTTTTGCCCAGGGTGGGCCTCAACCACGATCCTTGTACAGATGCCTCCCACATGGCTAGGATTCTATGTGCACCACCATGCCTTGTTTGTTGAGATGGCGTTTAACTTTTTGTCCAGGCTGGCCTCTAACCATGATGCTCCTGATTTCTGCCTTCAGAGTAGCAGGGATTACAGGTATGTACCACTACACATGGCCCTTGGTCTTCATTTTTTAAGCTTATCTAATAATTTTATGCCCTGGTCTTTTCAAGTTTAATGTCAGAAAAAAGTACATTAAAATGGCCTCTTTAACTATACACAAGCCCCTTTTTTCAGCTTCCTAGGGAAGATAAATGAAAACATAATTTCCTCCCTTGTACAGTGAGGATGGTCTCTACTTCCTTTGGTTGCGTAAGGAAGATAATGAAAGTAAATCACTTAGCAGTGTACAGTCCTTGATAAGCATGAGGGCAGCAGGTGTTGCTGTAGCTACTGCTCCTGACCACACCTTTACAATGGCAATGTTTAATCTTTAGCATAGCATGCTACAGCATGGTCTACATACCTGTCTACAAGAGAAGAACAGATTCTCGAAGTAATCTACTTATAAATGACTAACATTAAGAAACATTGTAGAAAGCTTTTAAAAATTATAAAACATTCTTTTGGAAATTAAAATACAGTAAGGTGTTAAACACCTTGAAAACAATGTTAAATCATTCTAAAAATATTCTGTCCCAAACTTTTCTCTACCAATTAACTACATTAAATAAATTTGTTTAATGAATACTTGAGAGGCAAATATCAATCACCAACTGATCTATCACTGACTAGTTTTCTGATTGATTTATAGAACCATTTCATCTTTCAAGTGAAGGATGGTATATCAGTCACATTTTTATTGGGAGAATGAGCCTTTTAGAAATTATCTGCCATTCACTAATCTAAATAAAAGTCATTTTGTTGGAATTATCTGGTAGCAAAGGAGAAGGTACATTAGAAATTATTCTTTAAGAGTTAGTAGTAACCCAGGTCAGGTGCAGTGGCTCAAACATGTAATCCTAGCCACTTGGGAGGCAGAGATTGGAAGAACTGCAGTTCAGGGATGGTCTAGAAGCCCCATCTCAAACAGTGGTTGGGCCCTATGGTGCACACCTGTCATCCCAGCTACACAGAGAAGCACAAACAGAAGGACTGTGGTCCAGAGTGTCCTAGGCATAAAATGAGACCCTATCTCAAAAATAACCAAAGCGAAAAGTTCTGGCAGAGTGGCTCAAGTGGTAGAGCACCTGCCTAGCAAGTGCAAGGCCCTGAGTTCAACCCCCAGTACTGCAAAAAAAGAAGGAAAAAGATGTTAATAAACAGGCAATTCATAAGAAAATTTCAAATTTTCAATAAATATAAGAATGTATAATCTAATAAAATAAACATATAAAGGCCAATTTT